CTCACTCCCTCCAAGTCAACCCCTCCCCCCACGAGGAAACTATTGAGTCGACACAAAAGGCATGGCTCCCCTCCTTGCACCCCGCCAGTGCATCGCTCACTCCCTCCAAGTCAACCCCTCCCCCCACGAGGAAACTATTGAGTCGACACAAAAGGCATGGCTCCCCTCCTTGCACCCCGCCAGTGCATCGCTCACTCCCTCCAAGTCAACCCCTCCCCCCACATCAAAGACCTAGCAAAAGGCATGGCACTGGGCACTCCTCCCACTACACCGCCCTACCTGATCAAACGCCAGGCAGAAGGCCTTTAGCTCTCTGTTGGTCTCTCGGTTCATGCGCACGGCGATCAGATATGCCGGCACCAGAGCATCACTCACCCGCCCCCACTCCCTCCTCCGCACTTGTACCCCAGGCACGAGAATGCATCGCGCCATACCTGATCGAACGCCAGGCAGAATGCCTTGAGCTCGCGGTCAGTCTCTCGGTTCATGCGCACGGCGATCAAATATGCCGCCACCAGAGCATCGCTCACCCCCCCCACTCCCTCCTCCGCACTTCCGCCCCTCATGGGCAGCAGGTTCTGCAGCAGCGACATGGTTTCCTGGAAGGGGTGGGGTTGGGGGTGGCAAAGGAGAGCACACAGGACCATGTTGCTGCTGCAGATCTCAGCGGTTTTGAGCTGTCTCAAACGCTTCCCACGTCCTTCCCTCCCCCGCCCCGCCCCTTGCAGCCGCACCGCCTCTCATGGGCAGCAGGTTTTGCAGCAGAGACATGGTCTCCTGGACAGGAGGGGTTTGGGGAGGTTGGGGGGCACAGAAAACCACACAAAAGAAGAGTAACGCTTACTGAAAGTAGCCAGCAAGAACGCAAAACAATCTTGAAATCCGTGTCCATGTCAGCAGCATGGGTGAGTGCGCTTGTGGTGGAGAAGGAGAAAGTGAATGCGTAATGTTGCTCCACACACAGGCCAGACGACCTCACCTGAAACCTCACCTGAAACCTCACCTGAGATATCGCCTGAGATCTCACCTGAAACCTCACCTGATACCTCACCTGAGATTCCACCTGAATTCTCACCTGAAAGCCAAGGTGCACGCCGAACAGAATATCCCTGAGATCTCCGACCACCTGCGCCTCCTGCTCCGACCCATGCCCGTTGAACGTGGGGCCCACAGGGAGAGCATCGTTGAAAATGGAACCCTGGGGGGATGCAATGGAGGGACACAGAAGCAGCACAAGGTCGGTATGTGGCTCGCGAGTCGCACCCCACCCCACCACCTGAGGGGGTGGGGAGGTGTATTGAACAGGGGAGAGTATCGAGATTGAGACACACTCGAGAGGCACGAGACATGTGGCTCCCACCGCATCCCACCGCATCCCACCGCATCTCACCGGATCCCACCACACCTCACGCGCCACAGCACCACCTGAGCCTACTGCTCCGACCCATGCGGGGCGGGGGGGACGTGGAACCCACAGGCGATATATATATATACATACATACATACATATATATATTTTTTATATTTTAATGGAACCCTGAGCAAGAGACTGTATTGGGTCCCTTCACCTCACCCAGCACCCACCTGAGGGTCGGCAAGGAAGAGCACGTCCCGGGGGAGGTGGTATCTGAGGGCGGGCCACATGTCAACCAGCGCCCTCCTCTCCCCCTCGCTCCACTGCGTGGGAGGTGGGAAGCAGTTGGCTCGCACTGTCATGCCCGCGAAAAAGGCGCCCATCTGCGCCCGTGACACTCGCTCAGAGGGAGGCAGTTCCTCTTTGGCTGGTGTACGGGGCAGGGGGCACGGAGGCACGGGGCAGGAGGCACGGGGCAGGAGGCACGGGGCAGGAGGCACGGGGCAGGAGGCACGGGGCAGGAGGCACGGGGCAGGGGGCAGGGGCCAAGAGGGAGGGGTCAGGGGTGCAGGGGGGCAGGGGGGCGCGGAAGAGTGAAGGGTTGTTGTGTTTGTCACTCCACTGCGTGGCAGGAGGGAAGCAGTTGGCTCGCACAATCATGCCCGCAAAGACCGCCCCCATCTGAGCGCGTGAGACTAACTCTGATGGGGGGAGCTCGGCCTTTGCTGGCAGGGCAGGCAAAGAGGGTTCCAGGGCAAAGAACAGAAGGATAAAGGGCGAGGAGGGGGGAAGCATTGGCTCGCACTGTCATGCCCGCAAAGACCACCCCCATATGCACGCGTGACACTCGCTCTGATGAAAGAAGTTCGTCTTTTGCTGGTGTATGGGGCAGGGGACGAAGGACAAGGGAGAAAGAGGGGAGGAGGCAAGGGGCAGGTGGGAAGGGACAAGGGACAAGGGGGAGCGAGGAGGGGGGAGGGGAGAGGGGGCAGGGGGCAGGGGCAGGAGACAGGGGACAGGGAACAAGGGGCACGGGACAGGGGACAGGGGCCAGGGGACAGGGGTTAAGGTTGTTGCACGATTCAGTTCACTGAGGCAATTCTCCCTTGGCTGAGTGGGGAAGAATATGAGAGAGGCGAGAGTAGATGATGAGGGAAAGGCAGTTGGAGGGTAATGTCATGCCTGACGGAACACCTGACGGGTTACTTGGGGCTCACCTGAAAGAACACCTGGGACATACCTGACAGAACACCTGAAGGCGCACCTGACAGAACACTTGAGGGCACACCTGAAAGCAAGATCTGCTCCAACACGCGCCGCATCTCCTCTTCTCCCAGCGGACGGGTCTGCGTGGGTCCAGTGCACACGCGCGCCTGCGCCTCGAGAACCACCTGGTTCGGCCCCACGTCATCCTGTAGGAACTTTCCGCCAAGCTTCCCGCCGAACTCCACTTCCCCGATCCCACGGATCTGAGCCGATACTGACGGCTCAGATCCGCCCGAGGCTTGGCTTGTACCGCTAGCGGCGAAAACGGCCAAGCGGTGAAAGGAGGGCAAGTTTCTAGGAGAATTTAGCGCGCTTCGGGTTCGGAGGAATCGCGTGAAATGAACCTGTGTGGGAAGGACTGTTGCGCATGGGTTATAGTACGCAGCGCGGCGGCTCAGTGGCCCTCCTGCTGCTGCGACGGTCGCGGTTGGGGCGGATCTGAACATCCAATCGCACGATAGCGAGTTCCTCGCCTGCGATTCGGCGGATCGGTTCGCATGATGCGGCCCGCGCCAATCGCCTGGGTCGCAGGGGATCGCAACTGGGGCAATTGCCGCGGTGCGATACGGCACGGGGGTGACTTGCGACATGTTCATCTGAGTAGAGAACATGTCAGTTCAAGTTGGAGGTAAAGTACGGCTCGAGACTTAAATCGCAGAGAAAGGTTAGTTCACATAAGGACACGTGGGATGTGGATGATTGCGAAACCAAAACACGAAACTCGGCACCGATAGTCGGCAAAGGCAGACGAATAATAACCAATTACTACTATTGCGTGTAAGTGTGGACAGAGTGTAACACGTGTTACTCGGATTCATGAATTAGGAATATCGGGTCTTTCGCAGATGCTATTGTCGCAATCCAATTATTCGTCATAGAATGATGATTAGTTGGCAAATCCACGTGACAGTTTAGGACGTGGGCCCAGTCGAGTTTGATCATGAATGATCTGATCGGGTCGGATCTGATCGGGCTGCATGTGATCGCAATGCCCGAGCCGCTATTTTTTGAAGAAAATTTGCAGCGCCTGCTGAGCAAGCGCATTGCATTTACCTCGCATTTTCGTCCCTATTTTAGCGAGATTGGCGACTACACTTCACCTGGCGAACATCTTCATTTCCCTGTAAGTGCAACAGTATAACTGCTCGCAAGTGTCGCTGTGGGCCCCGATCACATGCAATCAGGTGATCGCCTGTGATCGACAAAAATCGACTTTGATCGGGGTGAAAATCGGGTCTGATTGAATTGGGGCGATCAGCTGATCGCAATCAACCGTTTGCCCCCGATTGCATGAAATTGGCTTCCAGACTTCCTAGAATTGCTGATCGCGTGGGATCGAGTTGATCAAACTCGATTGGGCCCACGTCCTTACCTGAAGTCAAAACGTTGCAAATCTGCCCGTCTTGGGATTTCTGAACTTTTGTGAAGTACACGTGATGGATGACTCAGCAGCAGCAATGCCTACCAGCATCTGCCATGGAACTGACGGGGAGACGGGAAAAACGGAGACGGGCAGCTTGGTCAGATCGGCGGGAACTGGTACAGTATCTGCCTTGACGGGGCAGCATACTGTACAGCCTCGATGGAGCAGGGAAGTTTCCGGGCATGGGCAGCAGCAAAAAAAAGCACCCATCAACCATCAGTGAACACGTGCGCAACACCACGGCAGAACAACCGACCGACCTGACCTACAGTACGGAAACTAGACAGGAACAGTACACCCAAGAAAGATGCGGATCCGCTCAACCGCTTTAGCCCTTCCGCTACACTTCCGCTCAACCGCTTTAACCGCTACCTTTTCTTTCTGTCTATTTCTTCTGATGTGTCATCTCCTCCGCTCCGCTCAGGGACCTTGAGATTACCGTACCGCACATCTTTACTTCCCAGTCTACATGCCTGACGTCCTCTCCGAGGACTCGTCACCACTTACGCCAGATTTTCTTGCATACTTAGTTTCTGTGATACCGATTCAGCTGTATAGCTGCGGACTGCGCGGCAGCTTTGGCGGGAAAATACATTCTGTTTTCCTAGTGACTGCTGCATTATACATTTCCGCGCTAGAGATCGCTAGTTATATTTCGTTCCGTACAGACCTTTCCAGTTAGCCCGAACGCCAGTAACAAGCAGTCTGTCCGTCTGAGCCTACTTGAACCGGCGTTAACACCCAACCTAGCCTGTCGGACGGCTTAATTCGCAACAAGGACAGCAAACTTGTCCGACAAGCCTTGTGTAGCGAACACCGTGGCGTGACATTGGAGCAACCACCGTGGCATATCAGCTGTAGCAAACATCACGACGTGAGCCTTGCGCTACACGAACGTATCGTCGAGAGGAGCGAGAGCGAGATAGGCGCGGGAGTTCGAGCAGCAGCGCGCGAGCGATGGGGAACCAGACGAGCGTGGTGGACGCGCTGGTCGATCTCGAGTTCCCGTCAGCCGCGGCGGCCCCCGCGCCGCGCCTGCCGCCCGGCCACGACCTCCCCATGGGCGTTCTCTCCTTCGAGGTCGCGTCGCTCATGCGGAAAGCGCTTGATCTATGGCGCCAGCTCGACGCGCGGAATATAGCGGGCTTGGAAAAGCAGCTGCAGGTGAGCCGGTTCTGTTTGTCTGTTTTGGTTGGTTGCCTTTTCTTTCTAATTCCAGACGTTTCAGAAGCTCATTGCGCGCCGTAGTCGGCGCAAGAGTCGCCAGGCGCAAACACTGTCTCCCCGCCGCCTGCCCCCCTGGCCACCACCTTTGATTGGCGAAAATGAGTTCCCGCGAGGCGCACTGCCCCGCGCCGGCCTCTCCGCCGGCCACCACCTGCACGCACGGGCGCTTTCTCCCTCGAGGTCGCGAGTTCACGGGGCGCGCGCGAACTTTGGAGGCAGCTCGACTCGCGGAACATTTTTCGCTTAGAAAAGCAGCTACATTGAAGACGCGCAGTGTTCTCCCACAGTCGACTCAAACAGCACCCCCCTTCCGTCCTCCTCCGCTCCTCTCTCTCTCTCTCTCTCTCTCTCTCTCTCTCTCTCTCTCTCTCTCTCTCTCTCTCTCTCTCTCTCTCTCTAATGGTCCTTGTATTGATGTGGCCGCCAGGTACAAGCATGCAGGGTATAGAGGCATACACACAAAGGCAAATCCTACCCTAAACCCCCCCCCCTTAAAGGTCTAGGAGGGGCTCTATCACTGCAAAACAATCTCCAAGGTGCAACTCCTGCCCAATGCCGCCCACAGGTGGGTTCTCAGCTGCAGCCGCCTCGCCCATCTTCATCAGGAGGCCCACAGATTGGGCCCTTTGAAGGGCCACCGACCATCTTTGTCGAAACTGATGTAGAAACTTTGCGGCATAGTATGATTTTGAGTCGGCGTTGAAGTGCCGCCGAGCCGCCGTATCTGCCAACAGCTTCAGGAAGGTGGGTACTTCCGCGCATGGGCAGCCATAGGTGTCGACCGCCAGAGGGAAAAAGCCAACCGTCTCCGGCCGGTTGGCCAACCGTCTCTCTCTCTCTCTCTCTCTCTCTCTCTCTCTCTCTCTCTCTCTCTCTCTCTCTCTCTCTCTCTCTCTCTCTCTCTCTCTCTCTCTCTCTCTCCCCTCCCCTCCCACCTCTCTTTCCCCGCTTTCCTCTTTTTTCCCGCCTGGTGCGCGCGGAGTATGCCTCCGACCTCCCTCCCCCTTCCCCAAACACCTCTCTCCCCGCAAGCAGACCGAAGGGCTGAAGCGCCTGGCGGGCGCAAAACAGGCCTCCGACCTCACGCGCGCTCCCGTTCCCCAACCCCACTCTCCCCCTCCCCTCAGACCGAGAGGCTGAAGCGTCTGGGCGTGGGGGACTATTCCCTCCGCTGGCGCCTGGCGGGCGCGGAGTATGCTTCCGACCTCACCGCGCGCACCCTTTTCTCTCCCCCTCTTCCCCGCCCCCTCCCCCCAGACCGAGGGGCTGAAGCGCCTGTGCGTGGGGGACTATTCCCTCCGCTGGCGCCTGGCGGGCGCGGAGTATGCCTCCGACCTCACCGCGCTGACCGCCGCCGTGGGGGTGCTGGCGCGCAGGTGCGGGGGCGCGCGGAGCGGGGAGGTGCTGAAGCGGCTGCGGGGGTACAGCCGCGCATGGAAGAGAGAAGATAGCTTTAGCGAGGGCGAGGCGGACGAACTCATGCGGTGAGAAGGCCTTGGTGTGATGAGACAAGGGGGGAGGGGAGGGGGTGTTTGGCCGGGGAGGTGCTGAAGCGGCTGCGGGGGTACAGCCGCGCATGGAAGAGAGAAGATAGCTTTAGCGAGGGCGAGGCGGACGAACATATTCTTTGTCGTTGTTTGCTTGTCGTTGCACGCGTCGTTGCCGTATTTTTTGTTTGCTCTCTTTTTTTTTTTTTTTCAGACTGGCCTTAATTTGTGCCCCTTCTTTTCCTGGCAGTTTTCTGAGGGAACAGCTGGAGCCAATGGGAGCGCTGCACAACGCAATGCTGGCACTGGATGACGTCATCAACAGGTGAGGCTTTTGAAATTCGTTAAGAGCGACGCAAGCATCAAACATCGCGCCTGCAGGGCCCCAGCTAAACGTGCCCCTTCCCCTCCCCCCTCCCCCTCCCCCCTCCCCCTCCCCCTCCCCCTCCCCTCCGCCCACCAGCTCCTCAGGAAACCCCGAACTGCAGAACCCCAGGACCTGTCTGGCCAAGGGAAAGCCGCAGGCCGCACCCACTCACTGTTTGTTTCCCCCCATCTGCTCCCCCCTCCCCCTCCCCTCCGCCCTCCCCTTGTCTCCCCCCTCGCTTTCCCCATCTGCTCCCCCCTCCCCCTCCCTCCGCCCTCCCCTTGTCTCCCCCCTCGCCTTCCGCATCTGCTCCCCCCTCCCCCTCCCCCCTACCCTCCGCCCACCAGCTCAGCAGGAGATCCCGAGGTGCAGAACCCTAAGACGCGTCGGCCCAAGGGGAAGCCACAGGCCGCCGTGATGGAACAGGTGGGGTTGGGTTGGGAGGAGTGAACAATGGGTGAAGTGCGGTGGGGGGCTGTGCTGGAGCAAGTGGGATGGTGGTGGGAGGAGAAAATAGTGGGTGGGGTGCGGTGGATGAACGGTTGACGGTTGTGATCGAACAGGTGGGATGGAGATGGGGACGGGAGAAAGTTCGACTCGAGATGTTATTTGGGTTTCGGATGTTCGACTTCTCATCACCATCCTGCATGTCAAGTCAGCGAGGTGACTTTTGAGTCGACTCAAAAGCCACCGTCCTGCCTGTCAACCCAAGAGCCCCACACTGCCTGTCTCAAGACTCTTTGTGGTTGCAGCCACCCACATGCTGACTTCAAACCCCACTTCCTCTCCCCACTCTCCCTTTCTCGCCTTCATTCCTTATCCCCTCTCTCCTCTCAAGGTGACTTTTGAGTCGACTCAAAAGTCTTTCTCGCCTTCATTCCTTATCCCCTCTCTCCTCTCTTCCCGCTCTCCGTTCTCCTCTCTCTCTCACCATCCTCCCCATCAGATGCAAGTGGTGCATCAGCTGCAGCGAGCATCCCTTTGGAACCACCCACTCGAACGACCGGTGCTGGTGAGTTTAATGAGGTGCTGACTGGTTCACTGCGGTGACGGCAGTTTTACGGAGTTTGTCTGCTCTGGCAGACACACTCCTTTCGCCTGCTCCCTTCAATCACTCTTGTTTCTGTTTGTCCGTTTTGCCCTCCAATCCATCGTCTCCCCTCCGTCACTCTCCCTTCCCACCCCCTTCCCCCCACAGCGCCTGGCAGTGTTACTGAGGGTGTTGTGGCAGCAGTACCGGTCTGTCTTCGGCCGGCCAGCCAATCTCCCCCCTCTCCCCACTCTCCTCGCCCCCCCTTCCCCTTACAGATGTTGTCAGTTTCAGTTAAAGTTTGTGGCAGCAGTACCGGCCGGTCTTCGGCCGGCCAGCTCCTCCCAAGCAGGGCGGGCTGAGGAGAGTGATGAGCCCCCTCTCTCTCTCCCTCCCACTCCTCTCACCCCTCGTTCCCCCCTTCACAGACGTTGGCCGTGTCGATTGGGGTGTTGTGGCAGCAGTACCGGTCGGTCTTCGGCCGGCCAGCCCCCCCCAAGAAGGAGGAGGTGAAGGCGACGCTGGGAGCAGCGGGGCTGCCGTCAGTTTATGCGCGAGTGCTGCTGGGGGTGGAGCAGATGCGAGAGATGAGCCCCATCAGCCAGCCTTTCAAGGAGCAGCGGTGAGTCTCTGGTATTTGTTGTGTTGCTGGTTTGGTGATGCGAGTGGGTGGTTGGGATTGGGGCAGCGGGGCTGCCTTCGTTGTATGCGCGCGTGCTGTTGGGGGTGGAGCAGATGAGGGAGATGAGCCCCATCAGCCAGCCATTCAAGGAGCAGCGGTGAGGGTTTTGGGTGCGCCCTTCAAGGTGCGCTGAGGTGGGGTGGGGTGGGAGTGCTGCTGGGGGTGGAGCAGATGAGGGAGATGAACCCCATCAGCCAGCCATTCAAGGAGCAGCGGTGAGGGTTTTGGGTGCGCCCTTCAAGGTGCTCTGAGGTGGGGTGGGGTGGGAGTGCTGCTGGGGGTGGAGCAGATGAGGGAGATGAGCCCCATCAGCCAGCCTTTTAAAGAGCAGTGGTGAGGGTCCTTTATGTTTGCAAGAAGAGAAAAGAAGAAAGAAAGAAAGAAATAAGAAATCGGGGACCTTTCTCACATAAGAGGGTGTTTGATAAATATTTACCTATCCCGCTTTACTTTTCCTGGTTTTCTCCCTGTATCTCATCCCCCCCACCCTCGCATTCTCCTCACTCCCTCACTCCTCACCCCCACCCTCACACCCTCTTTTCCCTCACTCCCATTCACTGTGCGTCGGCGCCAGGCCAAGCGTCTGAAGCAGAGCAGACCTTTGAGACGCCTCAAGATGCCCCACCCTTACACCCCCTTCCTCTCCCCCTCCACCCACCAGGAGGGAGCTCTATTCCATCCTCCCGTCCACCGTGCGTCGGCGCCTGGCCAAGCGGCTGAAGCAGCGGTCCAAGCGGCAGATCGACGGGGGGATAGCCCGGGACCTCAAGGGCGTGGTGGGGGACATTCTGAAGTGGGCCGTGCCTCACACTCTTCCTGCCCTCACACTCTTCCTGCCCTCACACTCTTCCTGCCCTCATACTCTCCCTGCCCTCAAACTCTCCCTGCCCTCATACTCTCCCTGCCCTCATACTCTCCCTGCCCTCATACTCTCCCTGCCCTCATACTCTCCCTGCCCTCATACTCTCCCTGCCCTCATACTCTCCCTGCCCTCTCTCCCTCCCGCTCACCCTCCACCCACCAGAAGAGAGCTCTACTCCATACTGCCGTCCACGGTGCGTCGGCGCCTAGCCAAGCGGCTGAAGCAGCGGTCCAAGCGGCAGATCGACGGGGCGATAGCCCGGGACCTCAAGGGCGTGGTGGGGGATATCCTGCGGTGGGTCGTGCCTCTGGCTGAGCGCACGGAGGTGTGGAATGGCGACAAGTCGTTCGGGGCTCAGAGGAGAAACCGCGGCCACCGCACGCTGCTGGTGGAGGTGCGTGAGGCTCCAGTGCTCTTTGCCTCCTCCCAGCCTCGCGTGTTTTGAGTTGAATCAAGTGCGGTGGGCTGTCCCTCTGTCTGAGCGCATCGAGGTGTGGAATGGCGACAAGTCGTTTGGCGCTCAGAGGAGGAATCGCGCCGCACGCTGCTGGTGGAGGTGAGATGCTGGTGGAGGTGAGATGTTGGTGGAGGTGAGATGCTGGTGGGGCCAGGGCTGTGCTGGTGGGGCCAGGGCTGTGGTGGTGGGGACGAGTGGGAGGCTGTGCGGGTGGGTGGTATGCAGTACGTTTGACATGTCTCAAAAGACCCCCCTTTTGCTTTTCTTCCCTGTCCCCCATACCACACTCTTCACTATTGTGACAAGGACAAGTTTGAGGCTGTGCTGGTGGAGCTGCTGGTGTCTGCCACTCCACTTGTCCCACACCCATTGCCCCCACCTCCTCCGTCCTTCTCTTCCCCTTGTCCCCCATACCAGACGCTTCACTATTGTGACAAGGACAAGTTTGAGGCAGTGCTGGTGGAGCTGCTGACCTCCTTCTCCCTTGTCACTCTCCACTTCAGACGCTCGCACCTGCAACCGCACCCGCCCTCCAAGGCTCGCCCTCCCTCAGGCCCGGTCCGACGCAAGCTACCAGGCTCGGCCGAGCCTAAGAACCAGGTCGCCACAGCTCCTGCCTTTCCCCCTTCAGCATCTGCTCCCACTTTTGTGAACAGTGACAGTATCAGCAACGGTTATGGTAACAGCAGCGACAACAGTAACATCAACAGCTACAGTACTGGTTCCGCCAAGTCACAGTCTGTTTCTATTCCTCCTGTTGCTCCTGTTACTGCTCGCCCTTCCCCCATGGCCCGTGCTATCTCCATCACTGATGCACCCGATGGGGGTATAAGGCAACCCCGTACTGGCCCCTACCGTTCCGGACCTCCCAGTTCCCCTCTTCCCAGACCTCCTTCTGGAGCAGCCCCTCCCGGACCTCCATCTATGGCTCGGTCTGCTTCCAGTGCTCCTCCCTCCATGGCTCGTACTGCACCCGAACCTCCTCCAACTGGTCCGGCCATGCCTAGGCCAGCTCCCCAAGCAAGGCCTGGCCCAGGACCAGCTCCTGGACCTGGAGGCCCCCGAGGCAATCCAACTGGACCTCGGCCCAGGCCTGGTGCTGGCCCCGGACCTAGGCCTTCTCCAGGCCAGGCGATGCCTGGGAGAGGAGGTATGGGACCCGGAGTTGGGGTTCCTCCGGGTATGCGGGCAGGGCCCCCGGGACCTCAGGCTCGGCCCGGACCTCCATACCGCACTGGAGGTCCGGTGCAGAGGCCAATGCAGGGGGGAAGGCCGATGGGTCCAGGAGGAGGTATGGGAGGAGGCCGGGGAGGTGGGGGAAGAGGAGGTGGAGGGCCAATCCACAGGCCAAATCCTGCATCTCCAGTGTTGGATGATATTGATGGTATGCCGATCCGACGGCCAGCAGGGAATGTTAGTGCAGGGCAACGCCAGAAGATGCAGCAGAGGGAGTGGCTGAAGAGGGAAGTTATGCAACAGGGGGGCTCTCATGCGATGGGATGAAAAGACTATTGGCTTACTACCATGCACAGGGAGTTCATCAATGCTGATTTTCGCTTAAATACTGATACCAAGGGTGATATATTATTAATATTACCCTGGATAATGATGATTTCTTGTCTGTAGGTAATTTCCTTCAAGATTATGAAGTATTTGTGAATGTCCGTGGCACTGTGTTTTTTGTTCCTGAAGGTGAGAACGCGTTTCCGCTTAGCGAACACCAAGAACGTCCTCCATGTCGTGGTCCGAGCCGCGAAGGGTTGGTGGAAGATATCGTGGCGACGTCGTCGCCTCACAGACCCACACACATTCACTTGAACCCCTTTGAAAACGGACGGATCTACGCAAATCGTTCTGCACCTCGTTTTGATTCGTGAATCCTCCGCGAACCGCGCGAGGGAGGCGTAGAGTCTGATTGGTGGAGTGTGGCGGCCTCAGGGCTTGAGCATGGCGCCCTCTCATTCGCTCTTCAGCGCTTCGGCTCAGCAAATAAGCAAATCCTGGCTAAGAATCCCTGTCGCGCCGCAAATGCGTCAGTTCTGCGCAATACAGAAGCGGGCGGAGAATCCTTCCCTCCGCAAGCCCTTCGAGAGACTCACCATTGCGGTCGCGAATTCGTTCGCTGGTCACGCAAATCCGCCACTACTGTGAGTGTAGATTGCTGCAGCTGCGCCAACTGCTCCGCAACCGCCTTCCGACTCAGGGGAAAGCAAGCAATGCCCCGAAAGGTCACACACACACACATACCACTCGCCTACTCTCTGCCCCCCTTCTATCTGTCTGCCTTCCCTTCCTCTCATCTTTGCTCATCTTCTATCTAGTATCAGCTCCTCTCATCACCTCGTCCCGCGCACCTCCTCCTAACCAGCCCATCGCGTATATTGACCAGCTCACGACCGCACTCGCTGACCTAGAGTTGGTGCATACAGTAGCTTCTTCGAATCATTTCCAGCTTCGTAGCCTCAGTCCGTCCTTGAAACAGCGAATCTACCGCCTCTGCACAGCGTTCACCAAGCCATTCGCGCCAAATCACAGCACGGCTATTGGCGACAGTGATATCTCAAAATAGCTGTATATATCTCCTAACATAGCTATTTTCCTTTCCTAAATCAGCTGTAGTGCATAGACAGTACTGCCCTGAGCCCTCAGTCTTCCTTCCCCTTGCCGACCGTTCTCGTCCATTCGACTCTCGCACTTATCAATAGAAGTTCGTGTAGACATATGTAGTATTGCCATCGTTCATCGTTCATTTTCTGCGCATCGTTCATCTCCGTCGCGAGTTGCGCGGAGCGAGTGAACCCGTGTGTACTCTGAGATCTGATTCAAACTCAAACATCAGGGCAGCTAAGCCCGCGTGTAATGTGAATTTCATTTCAGATTTTGCACGGGCATTCAGCTTTTCGGTCTGATATAGCAAAGTAGCTAAGTTTATTGCTGCCGTTGCCACAGCAGAAATCGCAAGACGTCGCAGCCGTCGCACACAGTCGCTTCGAGGATGACTCCAGCTAGAGTAACCGACGCATTCACGCCTCGCTATAAGCGCCGGCAGTTGAGCCTCGTTATAGAGAATTTCTCGGAACAAGATGAAGATTTCTGTATCGGGGATCAGCAGCAGCACCAGCAGCACCACCAGGACCAGCAGCAGCACCGGCAGCACTTCACCGGACGCGCCCTCGAGGCGTTTCATCGGGCGGCGGAAGTCAAGCCAGTGGCGCAAAGTCAGGGCCACCGCGCGGGCGGGTGGCTCGAAACTCTCCGCCAAGCCTCGCGCATCCGCGCAGCCGGCGCTGGGCTTGCGGGTAGCTCCGCATCAGCGGAGGCATCCGCCTTCTCGGCGCCTTCCTCCGCTCCCGCTTCCGCTTCCGCCTCTGCTTCCGCCTCCGCTTCCGCATCCCCCTCCGCCCCGTGCCGCTTGAAGCGGAGCGCCGCAGACGCGGGGCTGGAACGCAGCGTGGGCTCCGCGGAGGAGCCGAAGCTACTGAGGCGCGCAACTTGCCCCGCGGAACGCGCCTACGTCGTCCCCCACCACTGGGCCTCCGCAAACCCTGCTTCCGCCGCCAGCTCGCGCAACCCTGCCTCTTCCCCCGCCCCCGTCCCCGCTGCTGCCCGCGGCGCTGGCGCTGGCGCAACCTGGCCCGCGGGTCTCCTTGCGCTGAACGCGCTCGTGTCTCCGCGATACGCGCACGGTCATCCTTCACGGCCCCCTCCTGCTGCCTCCGCCCCGCTTTCCCGACGTCATCCTCCGCCCCCCCGTTCACCCGCTTTTCCGCCCTCCCCCGCTCCGCTTCCCCCATTCCGAGCGGAATTCGCGCGCGCGCCGTCGCCTGCTTCTACTCCTACATCCTTACCCGGGATTCCCGCCGCACCTGGTGCTCCACAGCGGTCTCTAGCGACTCGAAGACGCTCGTCCAAGTCGCCTGCCACGTCAGCGAACGATTCCACGTCAGCGGGATTTAGAGTCCCGTTCTCGCCACGCGTAGCTTGTGGTTCCGAGTCTGCTGACACGTGTACGAATTGGAGTGGAGCAGGAGGAGCGGATTTGGCGAGCGAAGAAAGGCCACGTGGAATGGCGGCACAGGGAGAGACAGAATCATCAGCAGCAGCAGCAACAGCAGCAGCAGTAGCAAAACTGCCACCTCAGGTGGTGCACCTGCCATGTCAGCTGCTGCGTCTGCCAGCTCAGCTGTGGCTGGCAGACTCGCGCCCACCGCCTCCCCTCAAGGAAAGGGGGGAGGATGAGGAAGAAGAGAAAATGAGGAGGAGAGAGAAGAGGGGTGGAGAGGGGTTGGGGAGGGAGGGAGAGAAACAAAAGGTTGTCCTGGCGGTGAGAGCCGATGGGGAGAATATGGAAGTGGGGGAGGTGGTAAGGGGAGTGGAGATGAGGGATGAATTGGAGGGGATTGAACGAGAGAGCGGGATATCAGATAACGGGAGTGAAGCGATGGAGGTGGAGGGAGGAGGAGAAGGAGGAGGAGTAGGAGAAGTGGGAGAAGAGATAGGAAGGGGAGAAGAGATAGGAAGGGGAGAAGAACGAAAAGAAGTAGTAAAGAAGGTAGGAGGAGAAGAAGAAACGGAAGGGGAGGACGCTGGGAGGGAAGCTGTAGGGAGGGAAGAGGGTCTAGCTGGCGATGCGAAAGGGGGTGAAGCAAGTGGAGGAGGTGAAGGGGTTGAAAGGGGTGAAGGGGGTGAAGGGGGTGAAGGGGGTGAAGGCGGTGAAGCAGGTGGTGGTGAAGCAGGTGGTGGTGAAGCAGGTGGTGGTGAAGCAGGTGGTGGTGAAGCAGGTGGTGGTGAAGCAGGTGGTGGTGAAGGCGGTGAAGGCGGTGAAGGCGGTGAAGCAGGTGAAGGCGGTGAAGGCGGTGAAGCAGGTGAAGGCGGTGGTGGTGACAAGCAGGGCGAGCAAAGTGGGTGGCTGTGGGAGGGAAGTGATCTGAAAGGGTGCTATCTCGACGCGAGCAGGACATGTGTTGATGAAACGGTTACAAGCGGTGCTAAGGTGGTTACAAGCACTGCTGAGGAGGTTACAGGCGGTGCTGATGTAGTTTCAAGCGGTTCTGAGATTGTGATACTTTGTGCAGACATGGATCTGGACGCGATGCCTCTGGGTTGCTGCCTCGGATCCCAGCAGGAACAACCTGGGGAGGCTCACATGGAGCATGAAAAGCAGCAGCATGAGGAGCAGCAGCAACAGCAGGTGGAGGAAGAGTGCTCGCTGGAGCAGTTGACTCGCGTTGACTCCATGGAAGATGACGACTTCTGGGAAAGAATGGTTGCCAGCTACGGCACACTGGACGACCTGCCTGCTACAGCCGAAGCCGTGGCTGCTACAGCTGGGGAGGCCGCTACAGCTGGAGCGGAGGCTACAGCCGGAGTGGCTTCTACAGCCAGAGTGGCGGCAGTAGCTGAAGGGACCTTCACAACTGGGAGAGTGGCCACATCCGATGGTGGGATGGCGGTGGATGGTTGTGGGCTAGGGGCCGCCACATTAAGCGATGGAAATACCCTGCTTGCTGCAACTCCCGAATCTCTAGCTGTTGCTGATGGTGCACTGACAGCGGTTTCCACTCACTCAGGGGTGCATGCATCAGTTGCTGCTGGAAGTGCCCTGCCTGCTGTGACTCCTGAACCTCTGGCAGTTGCTGACGGTGCCCTGCCTGCAGTTTCCTCACACTTGGGGGTGCATGCAGCAGATATGAATTTCGAGTCGCGCCAAAAGACATGTCTGGATGCTGTTGACGGTGCGCTGCCTGCAGTTTCCTCACACTCGGTGGTGCATGCAGCAGATATGAACCACCAACCTCCTTCTGCGGATGCTGAAGCAGCAGCTTCGTCGGGTTCTAAGGCTTGCACGGGCGAACTTCCTCGCCCGGCCTATCATGCCGAGCCTGTTCTACCCTCGGCCAAGCCTGCGAGTCCTGAGTCCGAAGCTGCTGCAGCGGTCCTGCTAGCACTGCTGGCTCGGCAGCCAAACCTCAATCGCGTACGGCCCGAAGCAGGCATTGGTGTACTGGCACAAGGCTCGGTGTCGCCACAGGGATCTGAACGGGACATGGTGCTTCCAGGCAACTTCCTTCAGCAGTGCATCGGAAGCATGAGTGCAGCAGTGAGGTCTGCAGTAGAGTCACCCTCGTTAGAGTCACAGTTGCTTCAATTGCTGCTGCTGGCAGTGGCCAGACAACGAGGAGGAGGGGGTTTGACTCAACCAGCGGCAGCAAGATTACCAGCAATAGCAGCCGTAGCACCAGATATGATGTTAATGGCAGGAACAAACACACTGAATAAGGATGCTTGCCATGAAAAGGACTGGCAGCAGCAGAAACAGCAGCAGAAGCAGCAGCAGCAGCCCGACTTCCTAACGCAGAAGCTACTCCTGTTGTTACTGCCCCTGCTGTTGCAACAACAGCTACAGCAGCAACAGCAGCAACAGCAGCAGCAGCAGCCTCTGCAGGAGCAGGGAAGTATTACACAGCTATACTCGGTGCTTGGCGGATTGCTTGGCCTGCCACGCTAACCGAGACATGGCTGCACTCAATAAGGGCAGATGCTTTGTTTTTATGATGCGCTGGTGCCACCCAGTACTGTGTGCAATGTAAATTTACTCTGTATCCATTAAGTTAATGTTGCCACTTCTTTTTCCAGAAAGATGCCAATACTGATGTATTACAACTGTTTTTTCATAAGCAAATCAATTACTGGCATGTTTTTCCCCCCAGTAAAGAAGCGAGCTGTAGCATCCGTCACCGGGTAGTCCCGTTGCTCGTCACAACCCTCTAAGTTCGTTATGAATGAACTTGCAGAGTGCGCAGAATATCGAATAACGAGAATGAGAATTACTGAATGACGATACAATGAAAGTGACGAGGCCTAAGTAGGGGAAGTCCTAGCTAGGCGGGGAGGTTGGGCGAGGATGGCTCGGTGATGGTTGCGATTGGTGCAGAGGCGACTCGGGAGTGGTTCGGTGCCATGAAATAGGAAGAACAGGTTCGTCGTGTGACCCTCGGGAGGGCCTCGCTAACGAGTGCCTCATTAAGGATTTTGTAAATCCTTACAAAGTTGGAACTTGGAATATCTATCCACGCTGGAAGTCTTGTGTACAAAAAGCTTTTGCTTTTGAAGCACTTTTCGGAATTCTGCAGAGGTAGCGGTCACCAACATTTCTGTCCAGCCATTTCCAGAAAGAGATTTCACATCAGCATTACTCGCCATGCCGGCTCGTCGTGGTCATTTTCGTTACTGCGCTTCGCCGATTGACGAGTAGTCGATACTTGGCGAGAAATAGCGTTTTGCAGATTATGGCCTCGTCCTGGTCGCGTTCCGCCGATTGACGAGTCAAAGACTAGGTGGCAAGAGAAAAATAGCGTTTTGCTGAATATGGCCTCGTCTTGGTCATCCTCGTTATGGTCTTCTTCGGCTGCATCATCTGCCTCTTCGCAACCCAGTGACGAGGTAATCCTTCGCCTGCTACGTCTGGTTACCACCTCGTCCGATCTCAAATCCTGCTCGCTCGTGTCCCGCCGATGGCTCCGCCTTCACGGGCAGATAAAAACTTCTCTCAAGCTCTACGATTGGTCCATGCTCGAGTCGGGCCGCTTGGCGGAACGTTTTCCGAACCTGACCGAGCTTGACCTTTCCCCAGCCTGGTGCAACTCTTCCGACCCTGAGGTGTTCGGTTCGGCAGCCGTGTACATGACACGTGGCACGTGCACGATGCGGCTCGACCCTGATGTAGTTAATCCGTTCGAACCGGACCACAGGTTAGAGGAGCAGAGCCCGTCTCCTGACAGTTTCGACCGTGGATTGCGGGAGTTAGTTCAGAGTTACCCTAATCTACAGCGGCTATGTTTGGTCGACGTTTTCCGCGCAAAGAAGGGATCGTATAACGCGGATAAAGACGCGTCAGGGTTTTTGGGCCACTCACACTATCGGGCAGAACCAGCTGGTGACTCTAACGGAGCTGACTTTAACGGAGCACGCGCGCAGAGGAACGGTACAGTGATTTTAGATAACATAATTGCAGCTAGGGCTCGTTATGACGACGATTATACTGACCGCGATACCGAAGGCCTAGATATTATTGCGGAAGGGTGTAGCATTCTACAGGAATTGGAGCTTCGGCAGTGTACAGATGATTCGTTACAAGCAGTTTCTGGGTGTAAAAACCTGCAGGTGGTGAGATTAGTTGGGGCAGTTCCTGGATTTTATCACGCTACTTTCTCTGACCGCGGGCTACGAACCCTTGCAAGGGGATGCAAGCGAATAGTGGAGCTGTCGCTAAAGGGTTGCGAAGTTGGGCGGGCTGGTTTGTTTGTAGTGGCCAGGGAATGCCCGATGCTATCAGATCTGACTCTTTCCGGGAGATATTTTCGCCCGGATTGGCTCGGCGCGCTCTGCTTCTGTCCGAACCTGCAGACGCTCAGGCTCGAAAATTTCCACCAATCAGAGCCCGACGAGTGTGCAGCAGCAGTTGGGTGGGCGGGGGGGGTGCGGCAGGAGGTGGGAGCGGGCGGGCAGCAGAACGGGCAGGAGGAAGAAGAAGGAGAGGGAAAGGATGAGGAGGGAGAGGAGGAGGAAGAAGAGGGGAAAGCGGAGGGGGAGGAAGGAGGAGGGGAAGAAGGGGGAGAAGGGGAAGAAGGGGCAGAAGGAGAGGAGCAAGAGGAGGAAGGGGAGGGAGAGGGGGGTGAGGGGGGTGAGGAGGAGGACAAGGAGGGTGCGGATTTGACTGTGAAGCGTTTGGAAAGGGAGATGTCTGACATCTCTCTCCCCCCCTCCCGTCGCTTTCTAGCCACCGTCAAAGCCGCAGTCCACCGCTCTAAAACCATCAAAACCGGTTCCGGCAGCACCAGAACTCCTGCCACACCCAGTCGCGTCAAAGCGAGCCCCAGACCTCCCCAGCCCCCCCCAGGGTTTCTTTCCCCAGTGGAAACTCTACAGCTTATTCACTGCGACCTGCGCTCACGCCCGTTCTTCCTTGCGCTTCTCGCAGTCTGCGCCAATTCCACCGCTCTGCACCTTCGCAACTGCTGCGGTTTGGACGACGCCTCCCTCGCCGGGATCTCGGTCGCCACGAACCGTCGGATCGGCCGGCTGGCGATCGAAGGGTGTCCGTTGATCACGATGAAGTCGCTAGAAGCGGTGGTGTTGGCGCTGCCGGGGTTGAGGCAGCTTGTGGTGGGGGACTGTGGGGGGGTGAGGGATGAGGAGATGGGCGGGGAGTTTGCGGATCGGATTTTCACGTTGAAGGAGCTGAAATGGCAGCCGTCTGGAGGTAGGTTGGCGGGGACAGGGCTGTTTGAAAAAGGCAGGTGGCTGGTACAGGGGGGGTGAGAGAGAAGTCTTTTGAGAGGCCTCAAACGCTGATCGGGTTTTCACGCTGAAGAAGCTGAAGTGGCAGCTGTCTGGAGGGAGGTTGGCTTGGCGGGGACAGGGCTGTTTGAGAAAGGCAGGTGGCTGGTGTGGGGGGGGTGAGAGAAAAGAGGGAGTGGTGGGATGAGGTCTGGTGCAATGGGGCGGGGTGCTGCGCTGTGTGGTGGGGTGGGGTGCAGTGTGGTGGGGTGGTGTGTGAGGTGAATGAATGGTAGGAGAGGAGAGGTTCAGTTTTGGATAGCCATTTTAGAGCGTGTTCCTACGGCCTCATATCAGGAAACCTCGTATCAGGAATGCTGTTTTTGCCTGGTAAAACTAGCGAGAGGTTTCGGGTTTAGGGGAATTTTCAGTGTGAGCCTGATACGAGGTTATCTTGATACGAGGATAGGAACACGCTCTTAGTTCCTCGGAGGGAATGCTGACTGATATTATGGGTTAGAGATATCACAGCAATGTCTGTATTGAAGAGAGAATGTTGCAATGGGAAAATATACCACTGGTAATCAATGAACACACTATACGACATATTAGTTCTATAGTGCACTGTATATGATAAGGGTGATTGACCCTGTAAGAGATGCACACTGTAGTTTTCCCTTTTGACAAGTAGCATTTACTGGTAACATAGACCTAATGTTCTAATGCTAGTGAAGAAAATCAGGTCCTAGAAACATTAAAGAAACATTGCAAGGAATATGATACAAAGCAGTAGTAGTACTTTTAGAGAGATGAATTTGGCAGCTTGCTCGAGCCGAGAATCACCACCAGCTTCATTGGCTTCACCGTTTTAACGCTTGAGTTTGATTTGATTCCAAGACTCACATCTGGAGCAGGTTAGAAGCCTCCCACTTCCAGCACCGCTGCCAGCAGCAGCAGGTTAGATTCCTCCTCCATCCCTGCTATCCTCACCTGACAACAGCAGAAACAGCAGCGGCACCACCAGCACTTCCAGCACCAGCCAGCAGCAGCGGGTTAGATTCCTCCTCCGTCCCTGCTATCTTCACCTGACAGGGATCGCTTCATTGCAGCAGCAACAACAGCTGCAGCAGCACCGCCAGCACCGCTGCCAGCAGCAGCACCAGCAGCAGCAACACCACCAGCAGCAACACCACCAGCAGCACCGCCAGCAGCACCATCAACGCTGTTGCTTCTGCCAAGAACGCTGCTCCCACTGCCCACACTGCCCCCGCTGCCCCCGCTTCCACCACTGCCACCGCTGCGTCTGCTGGCCCTGCCTCTGTCCCTGCTGTCTGCTGCTGCAGCTGCACTGGTGCTCGGATCCCCACTGCCAACATGAGTGCCGCCTGTGCTGCTGGAACCGTTTCCACCACCATCCACACCCCTCTTGAACCCTGCTGCTTCTCCTGCTCCCATCCCTGCTCCCATCCCTGCTCCCATCCCTGCTCCCACCCCTGGCCCCATCCCTGTTGCCAATCCTGCCGCCCCATCTCCCGCTGCTGCTGCACCTGCTGCTTCAAACGCTGCAGCTGCTGCCTCTGCTGCTGCCAGAGCCTCAGCCAGAGAGGAGTCAGGAGAGGGTGGGGCAGGAGCAGGGGAGGGCAGGGAAAGAGGCGGATGGAAGGAAGGCGCTGAGAGTGGGCCTGAAAATGCAGCACCTGAGAATGCAGAACCAGCTCCACTGCTATCACCGATCATACCACTACCACCGCTACCGCTGCCATTGCCAGCAGCAGAGAATGCAGCAGCAGCTGCTGCAGAAGAAGCCTCGTTAGCAGCGTTGCTGTTGCTGCCCGTGAGCATAGCAGCACTAGGAGCGATACTACTGCTGCCAGTGCTGCTGCTGAAACTGCTGCTGCTGCCAAGAGTGCTGCTGGGGAGACCAGCGGTGGTGGTGGGGGTGGGGGCAGTGGGGGCGGTGGGGGCAATGGACGAGCCTGCTCTGCTGCGGATGGTGGCGGCAATCTTGGTGTTCATCAGGTCTACCTCCTTGGTGATGGCTGTCGCGAGGGCCCTGTAGGGTTGCGAGGGAAGGGGAATATGAGGAAAAAGGGGAGGAGAAAGGGGATGTGAGGGGGGTGGATATAGAGGAGCCAGCTCTGCTGCGAATGGTGGCTGCGCTCTTGGCGTTCATCAGGTCTACCTCCTTGGTGATGGCTGTCGCGAGAGCCCTGAGGGGTTGGGAGGCAAGGAGGTGAACATGATTTCAGGTACTGCAAAACAGACTTTCTTTCACACGGCAATTTTGCTGTTCATCAAGTCAACTCACCTCTGACTTCTCATGGTGGCAGCAGCAAGCTTCTTTCCCAGCTGTGACCTCGTCCTCAACCCCTTCTTGAGCCCTCTCACAGAACAAACACCTTACATCCCAGAGCCAACACACACACACATCATACACGCACCCGCATGCACATGAGCATGCACACCCACTGCCCTCACCTCTGAGGGCTCATAGTGGCAGCAGCAAGCTTCTTTCCCAACTGAGACCCTGTCGTCAGCCCTTTCTTGAGCCCTCCCTCCCCACACAGCATGTGCCACCATGCGCCAGCGATTTCATTTAGGGTTTGACTCAGAACTCACCTCTGACTTCTCATAGTGGCAGCAGCGAGCTTCTTTCCCAGCTGAAACCCCGTCCTCAGACCCTTCTGGACTCGAGCCCCTCCCACCTTTTGTGTTCAACCCCTTCTTGAGGCTCCCCAACAACGCCTGAGAGGCTGAGCTATATCATCTTCTTCTGTGCACCCCATTTAATTGAGTTGACCCTAAACTCACCTCTGGGGGCTCATAGTGGCAGCAGCGATTTTCTTCCCCAGCTGAGACCCTGTTCTCAGCCCCTTCTTGAGCCCTCCCAACACAGCCTGAGCCACCATTTTCTTGGCGCCCCTCCCTTCCACTGCACTCGGTGTTGCCGCCTCCCCCCCTTCGCCCTCCCCACACTCCTCCCCCTCCTCTCCCTCCCCGCCTATTGCCCCCTCCTCATCCCCCTCTTCTACTTCCGGAAGTGGGGGAGTGAGGGAGTGGGGGTGGCTGAAGTGTGGCTCAGGTGGCGTGGTCGGAGACATGATCGCGTTGAATTCACCTGAGAATCCACCTGGCGAAGCACCTGGAGTACCAGCGGCAGAAACGGTACCAAAATGGTCAGCGTGGGGCGGCACAGGTAGCCATAGTGTAGGATCGCTTGTCTGTTCTAGCCCCCCTCCAGATGAAGATGCCACTGCTCCCACTCCGCCCCCCACACCCACCCACTCTCCTCCCCCTCCTCCTCCCCCTCCTCCTCCTCCTGCTCCTCCTGCTGCTGCTCCTGCGGAAGTTGGGCCACCAAACATGGCGTTTCTGAAGCTGGCGCTGCTGCCTAAGCTGGCACTGCGGCCGCTGCTGTTGCTGTGGTGATAGCTGCCGAAGCTGCTGCTTCTGCTCGCCCGCAGGGTGTGCGGAGCGGTGGGGAGCGGTGCATTTTCCCCTGGAGATGCTTCTGTTGTGCCTCCTGCTGCTTGTCTCCCCCCTGCTACAGCAGCAGCAACAGTGGAATCATGCATATCCTCAGCGCTCCCACCTGCAATGGTCGCAGCACCAGCAGCAGCACCAGCACTAGCAGGACCAGCACCAGCAGCAGCCATGGCTCGAAGAACAGGCTGTAACTTTCCGCTACCAGTTCGAATGGTCAGGTGATCAACCCCACCACTAGCACCAGCAGCAGCACCACCACCACCACCAGCAGCAGTAACAGTAGCAGCAACACCAACCACACCAGCACCATCCGCAGCACCAGCAGCAGAAGAATCACTGCCCAGCCTATTGCCTTCACTTGAGCTGTCCTCCAGGCTTGAGCTACCTGGGGCTCCTGCTGCTCCTGCTGCGGCATGGGGAGACGAAACCGACCCTGCAGGTTCCAGCGCAGGTGCTGATGCTAGCGCTACAGCCGGTGCTACGGCTGCTACAGCTGCTGCAGACGACCCATACGAGCCCAGCAGTATCGGCCCTGACTTGCTCGGCCCCTTCCTTCCCAAACCTTCCATCCGAACCAGATTCATAGCTGCGGTAACAAGAGGCCTGTCCCGTTCCCCGCCCTCCTTACCCCCCTCCCGACCACCCTCCCCCTTACCCCCACTCTCCCTCTCCTTGTCCCTCTCTCTATTCGGGTCCTTTCTCAGTCTAATCCCAGGCACTGAGAAGATATTTCCTCTGTGGGGGCTGGGCCTGGGAGGACTACTATCCCGTTCCCGCTCTTTAACCCTTCCCCCTTGCTCGTGTAAAAGCCCGGCCCCGAGCCCTCCCCTCCCTGCCCCTGTCGCCAATGCCAACAATCCTGGCTTTAGAGTGATTTCGGGATTGGTTACTGCACCTACAGTAAAGCCCTCCCCAGTCAAGCCTGCCCCGGGCTCGGCTAAGAGGAGGGGTACTGCTGCTGCTCCTAGCCCAGTTGACTCGCCTGATTGCATATGTGCACCCCCCGCTGCTGGTGCTGCTGCTGCTGCTGCTGTTGCTGCGAATGCTGCTGACGTGGCAGCAAGAGGAGCTTTGTGGGGGCTAAGAACGCCCGGTTCCTGCCCGGAACCTTCCCAAGAGGCAGATGTCTGCGCTGACATGGCAAAGACAGACGCTGAGGTGGCAGCTGTTGGGGAGACTGCAGCCACGTCACCAGCACCGCCAGTGCTGTTGCTGTTGTTGCTGTTACCCGTATTGCCACTACCAAGGCTGCTACCCCCCCCACTCCCTCCTCCTCCCAGTAACCCCCCTATCTTGAACACATTCCCATGTCTCTTCTTCTCGCCCTTCTTCTCACTCTTCCTCTTCTCCTCCTCCTCCTCCCCTTCCATCCCCTCGCCCACTTCCTTCTGACCCCTCGCCTCCTTCCCTTCTCGCCTACCCTTCCCTTCTCGCCCCTCCCTCCCACCCTCTCCTCCCTCTCTCCCGCCTTCCTCCCCTGCTCTCCCCTCCCCTTTCTCATCCACTTTCCGTCGAAACTTGAGCGCTCCTACAGACTGCAAAGCTCCCACACCCAGCCCTATTCCCGCACCCGCGCCCTTCTGTGCAGCTTCAAATAAACTGCTCCCAATACCACCTCCCCCACTCCCACCCGCACTGGAACTACCCCCCCCTCCACCAGCCGACCCTCCACTACTACCACTACCACCACTAGCACCACCAGGACCAACTCCCTTAGCACTCTTACTGCGCCTCATGGTTCCTCCCGTTTCTCCTGTTCCCCCTTCTCCTCCTGCTCCTTCTCCTCCTCCTCCTGCTGCTGCTGCTGCAGCTGCAGCGCCTGTATGCTTCGATTCTTCCTCCATCGCCGAACGGGATCGTGGCTTGGATGGAATTGGCGCATCATCAGTCAAGGACGATGCTGCTGCAGTGGCAGCATCAGCAGCAGCAGCAGCAGCAGCAGCAGCAGCAGCAGCAGCAGCAGCAGCAGCAGCAGCAGCAGCAGCAGCAGCAGCAGCAGCACCACCACCACCACCTCCAGCTGCAACACCGGCAGCACCACCAACACTGGCAGCACCATCAGAAATGGCAGCAAAGGAGGCACCACCAGCACCAGTTTCACTACCAGTGTCTGCCTCTTGACTATCTTGCCTTCGTAACCCTTCTCCTCTTCCTCTCTCCCTCTCCTTATGCTCCCTCTTCTCCTCCCCCCCTCCTTCCTCCCCTCCACGTTCCCTCCCCACACTCCCATCCCTCCCCCTCTCCCACGCCCGCCCTCCCTTCTCCTCGCCTCTCTCCCTCTCCTTCTCTCTCCCTCCCTTCTCCCTATCTTTCTCCTTCACCTTCTCCCTGCCGCCCTTCTCCCTATCCCTCTCCTTATCCTTCTCCCGCCCCCCACGTGTCCAGGAGGACGGACCCCACTTAGGCGTGAACCCTTCCTCTTTCTCCTTCTTCCCTCCCATCGGGCTGCCTGATAACGAAGCAGCCAATACAGAGGACGGAATGGAGGACGAAAGCGTGCGGGAAGGTGGAGTCGAAGGCTTACCAATCAGCAGCCGTTCTAGAGTGGTGGGAGCAGCAGAAGAAGGGCCAGAAGGAGTGTAGGTGGAAGAGGAGGGAGTACCAGCAGACGGAAGAGTGGAAAGAGAGGTTAACGGGGAGGAGGAAGAAGAGGAGGAATGGGACAAGGCAGGGGTAGCGTGACCTATGGAAGATCCAGTAGCCGCAGCAGCGGCAGCTGTGGCAGCTGCTGTGGCAACGGCAGCGGCAGCAGCTGGAGTGGTGGAATCGCCTGGTGTGATTGGGACCTGGTTGTAGAATGAGAATGAAGCTGCACGGCCCACACCACCCCCTCCTGCCCCTGCAGCCGCAGCTGCCGAATGCTCCATCCCCTGCTGTTCCTGATCCCCTCCTGCTTCTCCCACCCTCTCTGCCCTTCCCTTGTCTGGCCTTCCTCTCTCCCCCATCTCACCTCCCAACAGAAACTCCGCCTGCTCTCCCTCCCCTTCCTCCTCCACAACCCCGAGACTTGACGATTCAGAAGTTGCAAAGGAAGCTTCCTCACTCTGTCCTGTCGACGTCAGCGTGTCTGAGAGAGAAGGGAAGGAGGGGAATGAGCCCGGACCACCTGCCACGTCAGCTGCTCCTCCTGCTAATGCTGCTCCTGCTGCCCCTCCTGCTCCGCTTGCTCCTGCTTCTCCTCCTGCCGCTCCCACTCCTGGCAGCCCCCCCAACTGGCCCTCCCCTGTCAACCCCCCTCCAAGCGGCCCCTCCCCCATAATCAGCTCATTTATCCTCTCACTCTCACTCGCCCCTTCACGATCACTATCACTCTCACTCCCTCCTCCCACACCTCCCCCTCCCACACCTGCACTGGCTGTCCCTCTAAGCCACTCCCCACTCCCTCCCCTGAACCTCCTATCACTCTCTGCGTCACTCTCACTATCACTCTCCCTCCTCCCCCCTCCTGCTCCCCCTCCCCTCCTCTTCCGCCCCCACTTCCGCATCCTCCCCCACTCCCGCATTTTCCCCCACTCCGTGTCACTCTCTCCCCCCATTTTCCCCCCTTCATGCACCACCAACCGATCCACAAACGAATCAGCCCCTTCGTTAGAATCACCTCCGCCAGGGTGCCACTGCTCCCGCTCATACTCACCCTCACTATCACTCTCCCTCCCCATACTCGCCACCCTGCCCCTAACCCTAATCTCTCGCTCACCGCCCGCTTCCCCTGCTCTCTGCACGACAGCCCCTGCTGTATCCGGACGGCCTTCTTCCCTCTCTCTCGCTCTCTCCTTCCCTTCCACGTCCTCCTTGAATTCCCCTGGTATGTCTTCCGCTGATCCTTGCAGCTTCTTCCTCCTCTCCCTCCTCTCTCGCCGCTCTCTCTCCTTCTCTTTCTTCACAGCCCGCTCGCGTTCCCGCCGCTCCTCCCTCTCCTCCCGCTCCCTCTCCTTCCGTTCCTGCCTCTCCCTTTCCCTCTCTGCCTTCTCCTTCTCTCTCTCAGCCCTCTCCCGCTCCTTCTCTCGCTCCCTCTCTGCCCGCTCCTTCTCCTTCTCCCTCTCCCTCTCTGCTTTCTCCCGCTCTCGCTCCATCCGCTCTCTCTCCTTCTCCCGCTCCCTCTCCTTATCCTTCTCTCTTTCCCACGCCAGCACCCCGAAACCAAATCTGGACCGTTGCTCCACCTCATCATCCTCCTCCTCACCAAGCAAATCTCCCACACCCAACTTCTTCCTCCTTCTTCGCTCCTTCTCCTTCTCCCTCTCCTTCTCCCTCCCCTTCTCCCCCTTCTCCTCCTTCTCCTCCTCCCTCCCTTCCTTCTCCTTCCCACCACCCGTCCGCACCCCCTCCTTTTTCTTCCATATCTTCATCCTACTGCCCAGTCCCCCAAACACATCCCCAACCACACCGAAGTCAAACGAATCCAACCGCATTCCATCCATCGATGCCCCTTCCTCCACCCATCTCTCCATCCGAAACGAGTGCAGCTTCGGACTCATACCCATCGAATCCTGCTCCCGCTCCCTCCTCTCCTCCCTCTCCCTCCACCCCCGCTCATCCCTCATCTTCTTATCCCTCCTTCCTTTCCTCCACCAATCTCCGCCCTCCCCTTTCCCCTCCATCTCCTCCCTTCCTCCTCTCTTCCCCGACCCCCTCTCCCACACCTTTGACTTCCCCCTCAGCATCCGCCCAACGTCCATCTCATCCCCACCTCTCCTCAGATTAAAACTAGGCGTACCAGGAAGCCTCCTTCCAAACAGCTTCCTTCTCTCCCCCCGTCGCCGCATCCGCCCCTCCGCATCCCCCCCCTCCCCTTCCCCCTCCCCTTCCCCCCACTCCGCTCCCCCATCCTCATCCCCATCCCCCTCCCCTTCCCCATCGTCTCCATCCAAGTCATCCAAGTCATGAACCTGCAGAGCAGCAGCGGCAGCAGCAGCAGAGTCCTTGTTCCCTCCCGTGGCCTGTATCAGCTGGGCATAAGCCTCCTGTAACACGCCATCTAGCCTCGCCCACTCATGCATCACCTCGTCTTTCACCTCTTTAGAGCTCCGCCCGTCCCTGATAGCGCACTTCTCAACGAACGTGAGGGCGCGCGCCTCTGAGTTGCGGATGAGAGCAATGCGGTAGGCAGCTAGAGCTAGGGACGCTGCTAGCCCTTCCCGCAACGCCTCCCTCTGCTGCTCCCTCTGCTCCCGCTGCTGCTCCCGCTGCTGCTCCCTCTGCTCCTGCTGCTGGGAATAGCTGGGGGATTGAGGTAGAGAGGACGGGGCACTACCCAACCCCCCACCAGCACCCTCACCTCCTCCTGCTGCTGCTGCTCCTCCTGTGAGGGAGAGAGAGCGGGCGAGGGAGGAGGAGAGAGCGCCTATAGACGCAGCAGTGGAGGTGGAGAGGCCTAAGATGCGAGCATGATCCATCAGTCTGCGCTGACTAACTGCCACATCCCTCACATCCCTCCCGTCACTCCCTCCCTCCCTCCCCTCACCTCCCTTCCCCACCGCTCCCATTCCATGACCATCCGCCCCTGCTGCTGCCGCCGCCGCCGCCGCTGCTGCTGCTGATTCAGCTGCTGCCCCCTCTGCCCGCACTTTCTCTAGTTTTGCCTTCACCCGCCGCACGTGCTCCCACGTAAGATGCTTCTCCACAACTTCCATGTTCGTCTGCTCTCGCCACCACCCCGCCTCATCCTCCTCCTCCTGCGCCACCACTCCCAACACCCTCCCCACCACCACCAACCACCTCCCAACGTGCACAACCGCATTGGCAAACCACCGCCTAAGGCCCCTCTGCCGCCCGACAAACTTGCGCTTCTCTCCTCCAAGCCCGAGCTCCAAAGCTGCAACCAGCCCTGTGTCACCAGCGCCTAGCCTAGCAGACCGAACTCTCCCACACAGCGTACACCTCCCGGTCACCCCCTTCTTCCCCACCCCCGCCCCCACCTGCTCCCCTGCTTCCCCTGCACTCCGCGCCCCTACCCCGGCCCCTGCCCCCGGCGCCCCCCCTGCCCCTGCCCTTGCTGACCCGCTCACAGCCTCGTCAAAGAAGCAAGCAGCACAGAATCCGCAGCTGATCTGTAACCGTAACCACAGGTCCCTGCCTCCTCCTGCTGACGCCAGCAGCTCCTGATAAAACGAAAGGAGCCGCTCCAGGTCCTGGGAAGCTTCCTGGAAGCAGCCGACCGACTGGTAGAGGCAGGCTCGGCACCAGAGCGCGTCGGCTCGGTGAGGCTCCAGGGCTGAGGCTCGGGAGCAGTCGGCGATAGCATCGGCGATGCGGCTGGAGGCTTGGAAGGCTGCAGCTCGGCGGAGGAAGAGAGAGGCAGCTAGTGACTGGGGAATGCCCTTCTTGGACTCGAGAACTGCACCGGGTCCGGGGGGGGGTTGAAGAGGGGGGTTAGAAAATAGTTCAAGAGACAAAATCTGATGCTTGGTGGAGGAAGAGAGAGGCAGCTAGGGATTGCGGAATGCACTTCTTGGACTCGAGAACTGCACCGGGTCCGGGGGGGGGTTGAAGAGGGGGGTTAGAAAATAGTTCAAGAGATAAAATCTGATGCTTGGTGGAGGAAGAGAGAGGCAGCTAGGGATTGCGGAATGCCCTTCTTGGACTCGAGAACTGCACCGGGTCCGGGGGGGGGTTGAAGAGGGGGGTTAGAAAATAGTTCAAGAGATAAAATCTGATGCTTGGTGGAGGAAGAGAGAGGCAGCTAGGGCTTGCGGAATGACCTTCTTGGACTCGAGAACTGTGCAGGAGGGGAGGAGAATGGTTTTGGGGGACGCGAAGGGGGAAGGGGAGTGAGGGAGAAAAGTAGAAAGGACGAATTTGCTTCAGGCGCATGAACGAACACACACACAGGAAACAAACCCTCGTTCTCACATGCTCAAAGCCACCCACAAGCACACACCCGTGATAAGACTTCTCACCTTTCGAGTAGTGTCTGACAGCCTCGGGGTAGAGGCCCGCAGCAGGGTGTTTTTGAGAAGTCTCAAAAACACCCTCGAGTAGTGTCTGACAGCCTCGGGGTAGAGGCCCGCAGCAGGGTGTTTTTGAGACTTCTCAAAAACACCCTCGAGTAGTGTCTGACAGCCTCGGGGTAGAGGCCCGCAGCAGGGTGTTTTTGAGAAGTCTCAAAAACACCCTCGAGTAGTGTCTGACAGCCTCGGGGTAGAGGCCCGCAGCAGGGTGTTTTTGAGACTTCTCAAAAACACCCTCGAGTAGTGTCTGACAGCCTCGGGGTAGAGGCCCGCAGCAGGGTGTTTTTGAGACTTCTCAAAAACACCCTCAAGTAGTGTCTGACGGCCTCGGGGTAGAGGCCCGCAGCAGGGTGTTTTTGAGACTTCTCAAAAACACCCTCGAGTAGTGTCTGACAGCCTCGGGGTAGAGGCCCGCAGCAGGGTGTTTTTGAGACTTCTCAAAAACACCCTCGAGTAGTGTCTGAGAGCCTCGGGGTAGAGGCCCGCAGCAGGGTGTTTTTGAGACTTCTCAAAAACACCCTCGAGTAGTGTCTGACAGCCTCGGGGTAGAGGCCCGCAGCAAAGGCAGTGTCACCAGCAGAGCGGCGCCAGAGCAGGAAGCGGATGACGAGGCGAGGCACCCACTCCCATGCACACACACAGGCGCACATACACACACACGCACACACACCCTAGTCATTTGGCCTCACCCTTTGAGTAGTGGCGGACAGCTTCCGGATAGAGCCCGGCAGCAAAGGCAGCGTCGCCAGCGGAGCGGCGCCAGAGCAGGAAGCGGATGACGAGAATGAGGCGGTTGAGTGTCTCCCCCGCTGAGGAGGACGCGGAGAGAGGCGCCATGGCTGCAGGGTGGGAGGCGTCGAAGACTGGGAACTGGTCCTCGTCCATCATTGCACTCTCCTTGCTGGTGTGAATGGGAGGGGCCGGGCGGATGGGGAGGGAAGGGGATGTGAAAGTGTGGAGCCGTGGCTGCGGGGTGGGAGACATCGACGACTGGGAACTGGTCCTCGTCCATCCTCGCACTCTCCTTGCTGGTGTGGGGAGTCAGGGGGAAGAAGAGGGGAGAAGGGAGTGGGAAAGACGGTGAGGGGAATACGGGGTTGAAGGAAACGAGTTTTGGGGCGTCTCAGAACTCGTCTCATTGGAAGAGGATGACAAGGATGGGAAGGTTGAGTGTCTCCCCCGCTGAGGAGGGCGCGGAGAGGGGCGCCATGGCTGCAGGGTGGGAGGCGTCGAAGACTGGAAACTGGTCCTCGTCCATCATTGCACTCTCCTTGCTGGTGTGAGGGAATCGGGAGGAGCGATGGTGGGAAGGGAAAGGGGGGGTGAGGCAGGGGATAGGGTTGGGGCGCCGTGGCTGCGGGATGCGAGGCATCGAACACTGGAAACCGGTCCTCGTCCATCATCGCACTCTCCTTGCTGGGGTGGGGTGAGAGGGGGACGGGGGAATGGGGAGGGAAGGGGATGTGAGTTTGTGGCGTTGTGGCTGTTGGGTGGGGGGCGTCGAACACTGGGAATTGGTCCTCATCCATCATTGCGCTCTCCTTGCTGGGGTGAGGGGATCAGGGGGATGTGGCGGTTAATTTGAAGGCAATGTGAGAAAACGGCTGCTGTGGCTGCGGGGTGGGAGGCATTGAACACTGGAACTGGTCCTTGTCTATCAGTGCACTCTCCTTGCTAGGGTGAGGGAAAGAAGCATGTTGAAGCACGGGGAGAAGGGGAGCCGGGGAGGAAAGGGAGGGAGGAGAGAGTGTGTTAGAGAGCAAGAGGGAGACGACAAGGGCAAATGTTGATGCTGCTGAGGGCAAAAACTCGTCTCATCCCGTGATTCGCCAAGCTTAAAGCCCGAGTCCCAAATTGCAAGCCGCGCGGGTCAAGTTTTTTAAACTTGATGCTGAGCAGCTTGCAAAATTGAAAAAAGTGCAGCTGCAATTTGGGACTTTCGAGCTCCCACCAGGGGGAAAGACGAAGTTTGGCTGTGTAATGCAAAAAAAAACAGATTTGACGAAATTGATCCTCTCGCCACGGCCCAGAAACTGAACTACCTCCTAGTCAACCTTTTAAAACCTGAACAATTTGGGCCAACGGCTCACCGCGCTACAGCCAGACTTATAACTCACCAAAACAACAGCCAGAGTTGTGACCCGCCACGCCCTACAGCCAGTTGCGCGCGCTACAGCCTGTCAAGTGACTCGCCATGCTACAGCCAGTCTCATGACTCACCGCGCTACAGCCTGGCTGAGCCTCTTGGCGCGTCTGAGGAGCACGAGCGCCTCGTCCAGCCAGCCCAGGTGGTACGTGGCCTGCCCCAGTAGCAGACACTGCCACATGTCCGTGGCTGACTTGTTCTCGTCCTCCGCTGTCAGGAGGAGAAGAAGAGAAGGAGAGAGGTGGCGAGAGAGGGAGGGAGAGAGACAGAGGGAAGGGGACAAGAGAGGCGAATTATAACCGTTCCTCACCAATGCACACCTCTTTTGAACGCTCATTGGCGTTGCTAGCGTCTTTGCCTGTCTGTACTCGCTAAAAAGAACGAACCACAACTCACCGCAGTGCATAGCGTTGTGCACAGTAGACAGGTCTGGCAGGTACTCCGCCAGCACCGCCACCACCTCCTCGTACCGGTGCAGGCGCATCAGCGCACTTCCTTCCTTCCCTACGCCACACCATCGCCTGTACCCGCTATGAGCAACCCCACAAACTCACTGTAGTGCATGGCATTGTGCACTGTAGATAAATCCGGTAGATACTCCGCCAGCACCGCCACCACCTCCTCGTACCGCTGCAGGCGCATCAGCGCGCGCGCGCGGATCTCCTGCAGCGACGCCGCCAGCCACGGCGCGCGGTCCACCGCCGCGGAGAGCTGCGCCACGCCAGCCGCCACGTCAGCGGGCGTCGCGCCACGTAGACTGGCCTTGGCTCGCACAATGAGCTCCTTAGCGATCTGTGGGGTGACGAAGGGGAAGGCGAGGGCGAGGGAGGCTTTAAGTCGGGTCAAATGCTCTTGGCAATTTGTGAGCTAAGTGGAATGCTAGGATTGAACAAGAAATAAGGAGACAGGGGAATGTCAGGGAAAGGTGAGCATGTCAGGGAGACGGGACGATGTTAGTGAGTGAGGAAATTGCAAGGAATGAGAGAAATGGAAGTGAGTGGGGTAACTTTCAGTTACTCACGATTTGTCAGTGAATGGAGGAATTGACAAGCCGGGTCGTGAGGGAGTTGTGCGTGGTACCTCTTCTGAGTCCTTTCGGCGGAGCCATAAGACGATAACGTAGACGGTAACGGACATGAACCCGGCTAGCCCTAAGAGGCCTGCCAGGAGGATTGGCAGCATTCTGACGATCCACCATGCAGCTGCCATCACGCCGGTACCGAATGCTCAGATGAAATAGCTGCATTAACTAAGGCGAGTGACGAAACATCCGCGAACGTGGAAATTCACGTCGCATGATCATTTCGGAATGACGATGCGACCCCCAGCGAATAAACATAACGATGTGCGACAATCAAGTAGCTCTTCATTTTGCCTAAACATGGACGGGAGATGTGGAATTGGGATTCGGCTGCTTCGGCCAACTTAATCGTAAGGCTGCCGACGTAAGGCTGCCGATGAGAACAGAAAGGCCTTAAAACAAATGTCTAAAGACAATTGACGGTTTGTACTACCTCCGGGCGGAAATTGACGCAAACGTTAGCGACTATAATAGCCTAGTAGCCTGGGTGGTGCATGATCTACTCAATTGCTGCAGGAAGAGCGAGGGGGACCAGGAGTCTTGGACTACAATCAATGAAAATGCAAGTACTGGACCAAGAGCCTAAAATGTATCATCGGACTAGAAAACAAAAGTACTGAACCAAGCTGGTAGTCTAAGGAAACTCTCTGACATCAGCCAACGGCCATCCTGCTGACTAAATTCAGGGACAAAGGAACTAATCCCGTGTCCTAGATTTCTACGATGCTATGTTTGTTGATTGACTACTTCACCCATCCAGCAGCACCGCCACGCCACCCATCCCCCATGACTCAATGAATTGTTCCACAGATGCAATCTCAAGGGTGTGGCACCAACTCCAATATCAAGTGTAGCTTCGGTTGAATGAGATCAAATTATGCGGAAGTGCGTTTCTGTTTTACTCCAAATAGGTTAGACTCGGTGTTTAGTAGTGCTTGTTCACCACGCCATGACAACTCGATGAGCAAGGGGAAGGGGGAAAGGGGGGGAGAGGGGGTGGGGGGAGAGGGGGTTGCAAATTAACTTGTTCGGTAAGAGCATATCATCTCATTATTGTATGAATAAATCTTGATGTCTGCATAAGAATTTTCGAAGGATGTGTACAACACGAACTCTGTTGCATATCATTCATAAATCATATCAATCTCACAGAGAAACAGACAGTGCGTCTCGGTGTCTTATGATGGTGTAAGGAAATTCCCTTTTCCTTACTTCGCACCTCTGCTCAACGCGTACGTCACTGTAGCACCTCAGTCAGCACCGTTACCACTCGCGACCATCGCATCATTCATCATCCCGCCATTTTCGCACATCGCATCCCGACCTCACGGCTCGGCTGGTAACCCGCGCTCCGGGCCTACGCTTCGACACGTTCCCAACCTCAGTCCAAGGCTCGTTGCGCGACCATTACCGTGACCACTGTAGTTTCGCTATATATTCTTCGCTCATACCTTCGCTCATTGTACTCTTGCTTCGATAGTGCAATTATCGCTCGTTCACTCAATTGCACTCGTAACACTTGGTATCAGAGCCTACGATCCCATCTCGGACCGCATCCACACCTTCACTTCCCCACTATCTCAATTTTTGGGGGGGGGTAGACGTCTCTCAGCGATAAAGCACCGCCGCTCGTAGTGCTCTCTCGCAAGCACGCACGGCCACGACCGAGGCTCTCGCTGAGCTTGCCCGACACCCCCGCCATGGCCGATTTCACGCTCGCCACATTGACGCAGGAGCAACTTGATCGTCTCGTGCGTCAACTGGAGGATTCGGCGCTTGAAATCGCGACCCTCACGGCGGAACGTGACTCCGCCCGTCAACAATCCACGATGAACGTACCGACGACATCCCACGCACCAACAAACGCATCTGCACGTTCGGATGAGCCGATCATCATCTCGTCCGGCACACCAACACAACAGGACAGCACGGGACAACGCTCAGGCGCAACCAGTGAGGGCGCCGCCCAGCCGATGCCTGGCATGGGAGGAAACAGGATCGCACCAAGCCCACGGGAGCCTCGAGAAGTCCGTCGGCACGTGGAATTTGCGGCGACAAGTGGCGAACAACCCAACATGGCACCAATGCCGCTCAAGCCGCAACGCCCGCCCTGCTTCGACCCAAGTCAACGCGGCGGTCCGACAGCTCAATCGTGGGTCTTCACGATGAACGTTTTCTTCGACGCCAATTACGTCGAGCCGGACGCCGCCAAGATCCGGTATGCGGTTTCACTGCTAAGAGGCCCCGCCATGGACTGGTGGCGAGTCATCGTGACGTCGCCACGCGCCTACGAGCCACCGTCGCACGAGGAAGGGCCCTCGGGTCCAGCTGTCACCTGGAGTTCGTTCTGCGAGACCGCCCAATACAGCACGTGGGATGCGTGGTGCGCAGGACTTCGGGCGCGTTTTGAGCCGATCGCGGCTTCAATTTCGGCGCGTCAGAAACTGCGCACTTGGCGCCAGCTCGGGTCAGTTCAAGACTATACCAGCGGTTTTCTCGCACTTTGCGAGCAGGTCGGCTACATGCACGAAGCGGAGCGGGTGGACCGTTACGTCGGAGGGCTAAAGCCGGACATCTCGCACGAGATAATGCTGCGCGGACTCTCTAACTTCAACGAGATTCTCGCGCTCGCCGAGAAGATCGACATCCTACGCCGACCGAGATCGGGGTCCTATTACGGACATCGTCCTCGGGGACCGACCGAGCACGCCACTGTACACGCCGTCGCAACAAATGCAGCTGCTGCACCGTTTAAGGGGCGCTGCTTTGCTTGCAACAGGCCGGGCCATCGCAAGAGCGAATGCCCAGAGGAGCTGAGGCGCCGAGGAGCAGAGCAGGGGAGGGAGTCTCAGAGGCAGGGAAACGCTAGCAGTCAGTAGAAGTTGGGCCAACTACTGACGAGACTGCCTGCTCGCCCAACCACACCGACCCTCACCGAGTCACAGTACCGATTCATGCCATCGATCGGGCTCGGATGAACAAGGAGGGTACAGCGACGGATTGCCCGGTACTAATCTACGGGAAAATACAAGGAGCAGCAGTGAAGATTTTTATTGACGGAGGAGCAAGTCACAGCTTAGTTAATACCGCAACCGCACGGAAATTACAGTTAATACTTAATCGATGCTTACCTGAGATAGATGCACGCTTAGTCGACGGCACGCCACTGGCTATACGGGAAAAGGTGGAGAGGGTAAAGGTCCGCTGCGGAGGGAACTTCGGGTTTACACAGGAAATGCTCGCAACGACACTAGATGGGCACGACATTTCATTGGGACGTGATTGGCTGCGACGGTATAACCCACGAATTGACTGGAGGACGGGTAGCTGCACAGTGCGAAGTAGTGGTAAGTGGGTCGTCCTACCTCGCTGGCAGCCACCCGAGTCTTCGACGGTCCAGGTCAACGCCATCACGATGAAACGGGCTGTCGCTGCTGGAGCTGACGTGTACGCAGTGGATATCGCATTAGTGGAAAAAGAGGACCGGCCGAGTGATTTGCAGAAACTGTTGGCAGCCGTACCACCCGAACTACAGGCACTACTGAAACGGTTCCCGGGTATCTTTCCGGATGACTTACCGCAAGGGCTGCCACCTCAGCGGGCGCATGACCATAGGATCGAGTTAGAACCGGGGGCACAGCCAACTGTACAGCGCCAATTTCGACTGACACAGCCCGAGCTGGACGAGCTAAGGAAGCAGTTAGATTACCTGTTAGAGAAGCAGTTTATCCGACCGAGCTCGTCACCGTTCGCCGTACCGATACTGTTCACTCCGAAAAAAGACGAGGGGTTTCGCATGTGCATCGACTACCGAGCGCTTAACAGGGTAATAGTAAAATCACGATACCCCATCCCCCGCGCCGACGAACTGATCGACCAGCTGCGAACCGCACGAGTATTTTCGAAAATAGACTTACGGGGAGGTTACCATCAAATTCGGGTCGAACCATCGGACTGCGCCAAGACAGCATTTAGGACTAGGTACGGGTCATTCGAGTACACAGTGATGCCTTTCGGGCTGACCAACGCGCCTGCAACATTTCAGATGACCATGAACGAGGCGTTTGTCAGTAGAGCTACACTATGAGATCCCCGATCGATCCTTGGGGGGGTTACAGGCGCGTTTGCCTGGGGGGTTATGGGCGCACTGACCCGCTACTGAAACAAGCCCTTTTATCCCAATGGTCTAGTGGTTGGGATTCTGACATGGTATCAGAGCGGTCTCGGGTTCGAATCCCGGTGTATGCACATATTGGCCGTTGCCACTGTGCTCAGTCCTGGGCCTCCCAGTGTGGGGGGGTGTCAGTAGAGCTACACTGTGAGATCCCCGATCGATCCTTGGGGGGGTTACAGGCGCGTTTGCCTGGGGGGTTATGGGCGCACTGACCCGCTACTGAAACAAGCCCTTTTATCCCAATGGTTTAGTGGTTGGGATTCTGACAGCGTTTAGGCCACTTTTAGATAAATGCGTCATAGTTTACCTCGAGGACATCCTCGTTTACAGTCGGGACCAGCAGCAGCACTTAGTAGATCTCGAAGCAGTTTTTAAAATTTTAGAGGCACATCGGTTACTCACCAAGGGCTCCAAGTGCGAGTTTTTTCGGGACAGGCTAGAGTTTTTAGGTCACGTCATTTCGGAGGCTGGGGTTGAGATAGACCCTAAGAAGCTGGATACCGTAAAAGCGTGGCATCCCCCGACGAACATCACGGAACTACAGAGTTTTTTAGGGTTTGTTAATTACGTTCGTCGGTTCGTCCCCGACATGGCACGCTTAACAGCCCCGCTCACTGATTTACTGCGTAAGGGGGTCCCTTTTACGTGAGGGGAGAAAGAGCATGCTGCCTTCTCTGCCCTGAAAAATGTTCTCTGTTCACCACCCGTCCTACGCATCGCTGACCCACACCGCCCCTTCGAAGTTGTTACACACGCGAGTGACATCGCCATCGGAGCCGTACTGTTACAGGACTTCGGCAACAGCCTCCAACCCATCGCCTACAAATCACGCAAGCTACATCCACCTGAGCGAAATTACCCGATACACGACCGCGAAATGCTCGCGATCGTGCATGCATTCAAAGTGTGGCGTTGCTACTTGACCGGCGCAGACGTGACAGTACGGACAGACCATCGATCCCTACAGTACTTTCGCGCACAGCCCCACCTCAACCCACGACAGATTCGGTGGCTCGACTTCCTTGAATCGAATTTCCACTATACGGTCACATATAAAAAAGGAGCCTCGAATATCGCCGACGCACTGACCCGCCCCACTGCCCAAATACATGCGATACTACTCGCCCAGACCAGCCCGTTACTGACAGGACTATTTACCCACGGATATCAAACAGACCCATTCTTCACAGGAGGAAATTCACAGCAATTCGCAGCAGCTAAGGGAGCCTATTACGTAAAAGCTGGATCCGACCGCATCTGGGTACCAGGGTACACGCTACTACGGGAACTACTGTTACAGGAGGCACACGACGGAGTTACCTTGGGACATTTCGGAGTAGAAAAAACACGGCAGCAGCTGCAGCGGTACTATTACTGGCCGGAAATGTTGACCGACGTGCAACGACACGTGGCATCGTGTCCCACTTGCGAACTCATGAAGTCAACCAGGAAGCGGCCGGCAGGACAATTACAACCAATCCCACCTCCAGAGCGTGCTTGGCAGCAGGTGACGATGGACTTCGTCACGGGGTTACCGGCCGGGGCGAGTGGGAATGACGCGATCCTGGTCGTCGTCGATCGACTAACGAAAATGGCACATTTTGCAGCATGCAGGAAATCAATCACAGCCGAGGAAACAGCCCGACTCTTCATCGCCACCGTCGTTCGACTGCACGGGATACCAGCGTCAATCATCAGCGACAGGGACACGAAGTTTACCAGTAATTTCTGGCGGAACCTGTGGCAGCAGTTCGGCACGCGACTTCAATTCAGTTCATCGTATCACCCCGAAACCGACGGACAGACAGAACGGACAAACCAGACTATGGAGCAACTCATTCGAGCCAAGTGTGACGATCCAAACACGTGGGAGCAGCAGCTGCCTCTCATCGAGTTCGCATACAACAACGCGCCATCTGCCACGACCCAACAGTCGCCATTCTACTTGAATTACGGACAGAACCCAACAGTACCCATGACACCAAACCCCGACAATCCCGTTCCACGCGCTCAACAGTTCGCCAAGACTTTGCAAGCAGCACGGACCAGGGCAGCAGAAGCAATTAAAAAATCAAATATCATTGCTAAACGCAACGCCGATCGCCACCGCAGACCCGTCACTTATCAGCCCGACGACCTCGTTTTACTCGACACTCAGAACCTCCGCCTGCCCATCACTCCCAAACTCCGCCCTCGATACTGTGGGCCATTTCGAATCAGTCACATGATCACACCTGTCACCGCGCACCTCCTCCTTCCTGCTGACTGGTACGTCAGCCCCTCGTTCTACGTCAGCCTGCTTCGCCCTTACGTACCATCCACCAGCCAACTCCCACGACATCGACCATCCAGCATGTCACGACCACCAACCGAACCAGTCATCACCCCCGACAAAATCTTGAGCCACAGAGTTCGCGACCCTCAAGGGGCCCGAAAAGTTGAGTTTCTGATTCGCTGGAAAGATCGTACACCCACCGAGGACAACTGGGTTCCCCTGGACAGAATTGAAAACCACCTTGTCGTCACCGACTATCTACGCAGCCGAAACTTCAAAGACGTCCACGCGCTTTCGTAAGGAGGACCTTTTAGAGGCGAGGGTAGTGTAAGGAAATTCCCTTTTCCTTACTTCGCACCTCTGCTCAACGCGTACGTCACTGTAGCACCTCAGTCAGCACCGTTACCACTCGCGACCATCGCATAATTCATCATCCCGCCATTTTCGCACATCGCATCCCGACCTCACGGCTCGGCTGGTAACCCGCGCTCCGGTCCTACGCTACGACACGTTCCCAACCTCAGTCCCATGCTCGTTGCGCGACCATTACCGTTACCGCTGTAGTTTCGCTATATATTCTTCGCTCATACCTTCGCTCATTGTACTCTTGCTTCGATAGTGCAATTCTCGCTCGTTCACTCAATTGTACTCGTAACAGATGGCCTTTGCAGTTCTACTGTTTCGAAATTAACACTAGGTGCAAACCTTAAAGCCGTTGACCCAAATTGCACAAGTTTTAAATGCTTGGCCATGGGGTTCGACGGGTGGCGAGGGGTGTGAAGTGAAAGTTGGGAGCCGAAAGAAAGCACCCCCAGACAGCGAATTAGCGAATTATGTAGCGAACAGCCGAGTCAAACTACAAAGAACTGGCCAATAGAAATTGTCGCAACTTGCCATCCACACATCGCGCCCCAAAAACACAAAACACAGCTGTGCAAACCACACACACAACACCCTGACCTGCATTCACTGGCATCAACCTAGCAGGCCCGCTAATTCTAAATACTGCATGTAGCAGCCACATAAAGTAGCCATGACATTGCCCGCACACTTCCGCTGCGTACGATAAACCTGTCACATTATTAGGGTTACCACGGCCACAGAGGAAAGAACGCCAAACGACGCGCGCAGCCACAAACAAAAACGGTTTGATAACGACGGAATAATAGCTCCTATGGCTCGTCGACCACCCAAGGGAGGGTCACGAAGGTACGTAAGAGCCGCTCACACCCTCCAATGGGCACGAACGTCGCCTCACGCCACCATCTTCAATTCCCCTTCCCGTCGTCCTCGCTTTCCCCTCGCAATGCCTCCACTTCATCCTCCCGTCGCCCCCACTTTCCTTTCCCGTCGCCTTCAATCACACCTGCCCATCGCCTCCACTCCCCCCTCCCGTCGCCTCCACTTCCCCCTCCCGTCGCCTACACTTCCCCCTCCCGTCGCCTACACTTGCCCCTCCCGTCGCCTACACTTCCCCCTCCCGTCGCCTCCGCTTCCCCCTCTCGTCGCCTCCACTTCCCCCTCCCGTTGCCCCCACTATCCCTTCCCGTCGCCTCCGCTTCCCCCTCCCGTCGCCTCCACTTCCCCTTCCCGTCGCCTCCACTTCCCCCTCCCGTCGCCTCCACTTCCCCCTCCACTCGCCTCCACTTCCCCCTCCCGTCGCCTCCACTTCCCCCTCCCGTCGCCCCCACTATCCCTTCCCGTCGCCTCCACTTCCCCCTCCTCTCGCCTCCACTTCCCCCTCCCGTCGCCTCCACTTCCCCCTCCCGTCGCCTCCACTTCCCCCTCCCGTCGCCTCCACTTCCCCCTCCCGTCGCCTCCACTTCCCCCTCCCGTCGCCTCCACTTCCCCCTCCCGTCGCCTCCACTTCCCCCTCCCGTCGCCTCCACTTCCCCCTCCCGTCGCCTCCACTTCCCCCTCCCGTCGCCTCCACTTCCCCCTCCCGTCGCCTCCACTTCCCCCTCCCGTCGCCTCCACTTCCCCCTCCCGTCGCCTCCACTTCCCCCTCCTGTAACACCTCGCTACCCACTGGGTCAAAACGAGGGTTGTATTTGAGGCGCAGCGGATGCTCTCATACCCTTACATGTAAGCCCCACAGGCGTTACACTCGTCCCCCCCTGGAGCCAACGTCCTCGTTGGGCAGGGAGTCGGCCCTCGCAAGGACCTGAATCTCGCTTTACAGCGACTTCGCTGGTGGGCCAGGCCAGCGGCGGATCGTTCACTGGGTTCGCGACTGGCACATTCAAATGTGACCCAGCCGGAATCGAACCCCAGGCTCTGAGACCAAATGGAACACCTCGCTACCCACTGGGTCAAAACGAGGGTTGTATTTGAGGCGCAGCGGATGCTCTCATACCCTTACGTGTAAGCCCCACAGGCGTTACACCTCCCGTCGCCTCCACTTCCCCCTCCCGTCGCCTCCACTTCCCCCTCCAGTCGCCTCCACTTCCCCCTCCCGTCGCCTCCACTGCCCCCTCCCCGAAAGGTGAGTTTAATGTCGTTCTTGCGAGGGTGGGCCGTCGCCAACCCTTTCCCTTCCCGTCGCCAGAACTCCCCCCTCCACTCTCCATAACGTGTCCACTTTCCATACCTGCATCCACTTTCCATACCTGCCTTCACTTCCTGCTCACTCTCTTCGCCCCACTTTCCCCCGCTCTCGCCCGTTTTCACTCTTATCGCTCTCTTTCCCCCTCTGCTCAATCCTCTTTTCCCGGCTCACTCCCACGCCCACTCTCTCCAACCCTGCTCACTCTCACCCGCCCTGCCCACTCTCTTCCCCCATGCCCACTCTCTTCCCCCATGCTCACTCTCACCCGCCCTGCTCACTCCCTCCCCCCATGCTCACTCTCTCCCCCGTCTGATAGAATTCAAGAGTAGTTGAATGATGAGCCATTGAGGCTCTATAGTACAAGCATGCAAGCAAGAGAGGGGTGAAGAAGGAGCAAACCCTATTGGCCACTAAGTTGGCCAATGGGGGAGATGCCTTGTGGAGTAGGTAACCCCACAATGTTGCTAGGTTGTGATTGGTAGGCCTTAGGACCAAAAGTTGGCAAGTGCCAACCAAGGACCAAGACCAAACCCAACCTTGACCAACCACAAAATGTGGTTGGAGTGTACACCCAACCCCCCAAGAACATAAAGAGCTACACCATTCTAGCTTATGTATGTTGTATATAAGATACAGTTACAACACAACCCCCCAACAGGCATAAGGCTAGAAAATGGAATCAGGAGGCCGCCAAAACCGGAGGAGGGGTGAGGCCAAGGAGGCGCAGAAGGAAGGAGTGGGACGCTTGGGGAAGGGCTTTGGTGAAGATGTCAGCGAGGTTGGCCGCCGAGTCGATTTTGCCAAGGCGAAGATGGCCGGCCTCAACGAGTTCACGAATGAAAAAGTAGCGGAGCTCAATGTGTTTGGAGCGCCCATGATACACAGCATCCTTGGTGAGGTGGATGGTGCTAGCGTTGTCACACCAGATGGTGGGACAGCGTTGGGGGGCTCCAAGCTCATCAAGGAGGAAGGTGAGCCAGCGCGCCTCCTGCGCGGCCATGGTTGCAGCGTAGAGCTCTGCCTCGCAGGAGGAGAGGGCGACGGCAGAGGAGCGTGTGGACCGCCAGCTGTTGAGGCCGCTGCCCAGAGAGAAGCCATAACCCTGAGAGGACCGCCGATCCGGTCGAGAGTCAGCCCAGGAAGAGTCGCTGTAGCCGTTGAGGAGGGGTGGGGAAGGGCCGCCAAGGGTAAGGACATAGTCCTTGGTGCCACGAATGTAGCGAAGAACGCGCTTGGCGGCCTGCCAGTGCTCCTCCGTATGCTTGCCAGCGCCAACGAAGCGAGCGAGGACGCTGATGGGGTAGGCAAGGTCAGGGCGAGTAGAGACCATGGCGTACATGAGAGAGCCGATGAGTTCAGGATAAGGAGGGGAGGAGGGAGAGGGAGAGGAGGGTGGGGAGAGGTGGTGCCCGACCGAAAGGGGAGTGGGCTGGGGGTTACCGCGCGCCATTGCAAACCGTTCTAAGACCTGCTGGAGGTAGTGGCCCTGAGAGAGAGAGATGGTGCGGGCGGAGCGGTCGCGAGTGATGGTCATGCCGAGGTAGTGCTGCAGCTCTCCCAGGTCTTTGCACTTGAGACGGCTGCCCAGCTCCGTCTTGACAGTCTCGAGCTCGGCAGGATCGGCAGTGAGAAGAATCATATCGTCAACATAGACGAGGATGTAGAAGGGGGAGGGGGAGGTGTGGAGGAAGAGGCTGGCGTCAGAGCGGGAGGTGCGAAACCCAAGCTCGACAAGGGTGGCAGCAAGCTTGGCATGCCATTCCCTGGGAGCCTGGCGGAGCCCATACACCGGGCGGCGCAGCTGCCAGACAGAGTCAGCGGGGAAGGGGAGGTGGAAGCCCGCGGGGCGCTCCATGTAGATCAGTTCACGTAGTACGCCTTGCAGGAAGGCGTTGGAGACATCCATCGAGTGGATCTCCATGTTGAGGCGAGCGGCGAGGTCGAGGACGGCGCGAACGGTAGCAGGTTTGGCGGTGGGGGAGAAGGTGTCGAAGAAGTCAAAGCCATACCGCTGCGTGAAGCCCTTGGTGCAATACCGGGCCTTGTAGACGGGCGGTTCTCCTGGCAGCTGCTTGACGCGAAACACCCACTTCCCCTTGACCACGTTCGTAGAGGGGGGAGGGCGAGGCACATCAACGAAGGAGGAGTTGGCAATAAACGCCTCGAGCTCCTTGATGATGGCGGCGAGCCAGAGCGGGGCGTCGGGACAAGCCATGGCCTCCTCATACGTGGTTGGGATGAAGGTGGAGGGTGCGGAGGAAAAGGCGAAGACTGGTGTTCCAGAGAGGTCAGAGGTGATGGGAAGGAGGGAGGGGTCAGAGAGGTGGAGGTCAAGGAACTCCTCATGGGAGTCCTCAGAGAGGGAGGTGTGGAAGGCGCGGATGACCGCAGGTGCTGCTGCTGGTGCCACTGTTGATGCCGCTGCTGATGCTGCTGCTGGTGCCGCCGCTGCTGGTGCCGCTGCCGAGGCCGCCGCTGCCGCTGCACTCGCCGCTGCTGGTGCCATTGCACTTGCCGCTGCTGGTGCCGCTGCACTTGCCGCTGCTGGTGCCGCTGCTGGTGCCGCTGCGGTGGCTGCTGCTGGAGCTGCTACCGCTGCCGCTGCTGGAGAGGTAGTAGAGGGGGCGGGAGCATGAGGGGCTTGATGCAGGACAGCCTGGAAGAAGTGGTGAAGAAGGGGGGAAAGAGGGGGGAGGGTAGAGGTAGAGAGGGTAACAGGGGGCGGTGCACCAAGAATACCGCTGCACGACCTGGTGTGAGGATACCGATTGAGTGTGGTGCGGGGAGGGGGGGAGGGAGGCGAGGGTTGGGAGGGAGGGGGAGGAGGGGCACCAGGGGAGGAGTGAGCGGGGGAGACAGGGGAAGACAGGGGGTCCGGGTCAAAGATGTCACCAGACGAGGGAGGGGCACCGTGGGACTGGGGGGGCGGTGGGGGAGGGGGTGGGAGGATGGGGGGAGGAGGGAGGAGAGGGGGAGGGGTGGTGTCAGACCAGACAAGGGGACGAGTCAGAGGTGGGAGTGGGTCAGTGGACGGAGGAGAGGAATAGTATGGGGTGGATTCCTCAAAGACGACATCCCTGCTGCGAATTAGTCGACTGGAGGGGGGGTGGAGGAAAAGATAGTCGGGGGAAGAGGGGTTATGACCAAGGAAGATGCAAGGAAGGGTACGAGGGGCAAGTTTTCCTAGGGAACGGGATTGGTCAGATGGGTGAATGAGGACATATGCCTTTGAGCCCCAGACCCGAAGAGGGGAGACATCGGGTTTGTCCTTTGTCCATAGCTCAGTGGGGGTGGTGGAGGGGAGGAGGGGGTGAGGGTAAAGGTTAGTAAGGAGGGCGGCATGAAGGAGGGCGTAGCCCCACAGAGAAGGGGGGCAGGAGGCGTGGACAAGGAGACACCGAGCCGTTTTGGTGATCTCCCGAACACGACTCTCAGCGACACCGTTCTGCTGTGGGGAGTGAGGGAGGGTGTAAGTCTAAAGAATGCCGCGGGACTGGCAATAGGAGGAGATCTGGTTGTTAAGGAACTCACCACCACCATCAGAGTGGAGGCGGCAAACAGGGCGCCCAAAGTGGGTGTTTGCCTGTTCGAGCCAGGCAGTGATCGCAGTCGGGGCGTCCGCCTTTGTCCGAAGGAGAGAGACGGACGAGTACCGACTGTGATCATCGACGAGCACAAGGAGGTAGCGATGGCCTTGGCGAGTGGGGGAGGGGTTAGGGCCCCAGAGATCCATGTGAACAAGATCAAGTGGCTGGGCTGCAGCGGAGGGGGAGCTCCGGTGCGGCTGCTGCTTGAGCTTGCTCTGAACACAGACGACGCAAGGGGGGGCAGGGGACTTTGGGAGGGGAGGGAGGGAGGAGGGGAGACCGTGGAGGAGACCGGAGGATGCAGAGGAGCGCAGAGTGGCAAAGTTGGGGTGACCTAGCCTGTGATGGAGGAGGATAGCAGGGTGGGAGAGGGAGCGACATGAGCAGTCAGAGTCAGGGGGGCGGGGGGGGACGGGTGGGTTAGTGGGAGGGAGGGGAGGAGGGGGGGGGGAGGAGGGGGGGGGGAGGCAACTTGGAAGGTGAAGGGGCGAGGAACCCAAAGGGTGTATAGACGGGAGCGGTGACAGTAGGGAATGCGGGCGAGGAAGCGACCTGTGGAGGTTTGGAAAAGGTCACAATGGTTAGCACCTCCTGGGGTGACAGTGGTGATCATGGATTGTTGGAGGGACCTTTGGGAAAGGAGCTTAGTGCGAAGGGAGGGAATGTGAAGACCTGTGACGGTACCTGAGGGAAAGAGAGGACAGGGAAGGGTGGACGTGTTGTGACAGGGGATGGAAAAGCTGCTGTCAGTGCCGAGGAGGGACGTGGGTGTGGGGGGAGGATGGAGTTTGCCAGCATCGCGAAAGACATTGTCAGTGGCTCCACTATCCAGGACGAACTCAAGGGTGGCGGAGGGTGAGGCGGAGTACTGAATGGAAGTTTCATTAGTAGCAGGGGCATACATAGGGGATGTAACAGAGGGAGGCTGACTAAGCAGACCAACAAAGCCAGAGGAGGGAAAGGGGGTCACACTACCACCTGTGGACGGCGCAGGGGAGGGACCGGAGAGGTGGGCCGCAGAGGCTGCATTCCCAGCGGTCCAGCCGGGAAACGGTTGCTGCTGGGGGACAGGAGGAGGAGGGAGGAGAGGAAGCTGGGGCTGGAGGTCGAGCTGCTGCTGGAGCTGCTGAAGCTGCTGCTGGAGCTGCTGAAGCTGCTGCCCGTACTGCTGCGGTCCCTGCTGCTGGACACTCTGCTGCTGCTGCTGCTGCTGATGCTGCTGCTGCTGCTGCTGCTGAGAGGGGAGAGCAAAGGCCTGGTGGGCCTGGGAGGAGGAGGAAGGAGCGTAGAGAGGAGAGGTGCGAACGTCGAGGGGAGTGGGGCGGGGATTAAGGGCGGACCAGCGAGGAGGGGTGCCAGAGTTCCCACGAGCGAACCACTCATCGCTGAGTGCCTTAAAGCACGTCTCAGTTGCATGAGTGGTTTGGTTGCAGCGTTGGCCTCGGGTGGGGCCATAAAGGGGAAGATACTGACAGGGTGGGAAGGCCGCTGCTGCACCACCACGACCCGCACCACCACGACCGCCAGAGCCGCCTCTACCACCTCCACGCCCACCTCCACGCCCCCCTCCACGTCCGCCTTTGCCGCTGCGCTGATGTGCTACCGCGGCAGTGGAGGAGGAGTGGCGAAGGATTTCTGCCTCGGTGGTGATAATCCACTGGGCAACTTGAGCGGGAGTGTCATGTTTGGAGAGGAGTTGCATGTAGGCCAGCTTGTGGGCATCGAAGGCAGGAGTGAGGCCTTCGAGGAGGTGGCAGCAGATGACGATGTCAGGGTAGGTAACACCAAGTGCTGCAAGGCGGCGAGCAAGGTCAAGGACGCGGCGAGTAAAGGCGGCTGCGCCGGCAGTGGAATCCATGGTGATGGATCCAAAGTCCTTTATGAGGGCATAGAGGGTGGCGATGTCCTGCCGGTCAAAGAGGTCGACAAGCAGTTGCCACAGGTGGGAGGAGGAGGTGGGTGAGAGTTCTCGCTTGAGGGAGGAGGGGATAGTGGCGAGGAGGATGGCGAGAGCTCGACGGTCAGCAATGCGCCACGCAGCGATGTCGGAGGTGTAGCTAGCGAGGCGTGTAGTGTACGTGGTGAGTTGGGCGTGGTAGTCGCGGTGACGGGCAGCAGCCTCGTCGTAGGCGCGCTTGTCGTCCTCATAGCGCAGTTGACGGCGAAGGTGGTCGTTGAGTGTGTTGCGGTAGGCACGGATGGCAGTTTCCACGCTTTGAGGATTGTTGACATCCGGTGCGAAGGAGGGAGGATCACCAGGGGACTCGGGCTCAGGTCCGGGCTCATCAGGAGGAGGTCCGGTGGGGGCAGAAGGGGCGATGGGCTGGAGTCCGCCTTCCTCCTGGAACACAACGGAGCGGAGTGTATAACCACTGACGATGACCGAGGAGAGCAACACCTTGACGGAGTGAGCATAGGAGTGCCAGTTGGCGGCTGAGTTGTCGCCGAGCAGCTCGAGGGCGTCAATGGTCGCTAGATCGACCAAGGAGTCGGATGACGCCATGACGGCGGAGGGGTGAAGGCGCTGCTGCTGCTGTTGGTATTGGTGCCGCCGCTGCTGTTGCCGCCGCCGATGCCGCTGCTGCTGCTGCCGCCGATGCCGCTGCTGCTGCCGCCGCCGATGCCGTTGCTACTGCCGCCGCCAATGCCGCTGCTGCTGCCGCCGCCGATGCCGCTGCTGCTGCCGCCGCCGATGCCGCTGCTGCTGCCGCCGCCGATGCTGCTGCAGCTGCCGCCGCCGATGCCGCTGCTGCTGCCGCCGCCGATGCCGCTGCTGTTGCCGCCGCCGATGCCGCTGCTGCTGCCGCCGCCGATGCCGCTGCTGCTGCTGTTGGTGCCTTTAGGGGTGGAGTAGGGGGAGGAGGTAGAGGGGAAGAGAGGCTGGTGCGGAAGTGCGGGGAGGAATTAGGGTTTCGAGGTCGTGGAGATCGCGGGCAGGCGAACGCGACGGCGGGCAGATCAGCCGCGGCTGCGCACCAGCCGTCCACGTCGGCGCAGGGGCGTCGACGGCCGCGCGCTGGCCGTCCGCGGTGGCGCGCGGTTCTTTTGTGGCCGCGCGCTGGCTGTCCGCGTCAGCACGCGGCTCGTCGGCGGGGCCGCGCTGGCAGTCCGCGTCAGCGCGCGGGTCGTCGGCGGGGCCGCGCTGGCCGTCCGCGTCAGCGCGCGGGTCGTCGGCGGGGCCACGCTGGCCGTCCGCGTCAGCGCGCGGGTCGCCGGCGGGGCCGCGCTGGCCGTCCGCGTCAGCGCGCGGGCCGTCGGCGAGGCCGCGCTGGCCGTCCGCGGCAGCGCGCTGGTCGTCGGGGGTCACGCGCTGGCCGTCCGCGGCGGTCGCAGGTCGTCCGCGTCGCCGCGCTGGTCGTCCGCGTCGGCGCTTAGGTCGGACGCGTCGGCGGGCAGATGGAGGCGTGGCGGCAGGAGGAAGGATTTCTGCCATGGGGGAGCGGATAGGGGCTGCGGGAGGGAGGATAGAGGCCGCGGGAGGGAGGATTGAGGCCGCGGAGGAGGAGATCTACGCCGCAGAACGCTAGATCTGAGGTGCGGGAGGCGGAACTGAGCCGCGGGAGGCGGAACTGAGCCGCGGGAGGCTAGATCTGAGGAGCGGGTGGGCGGATGTAGGTCATAGTCCGCTAGGGTAAGGGAGCGGGGAGGGAATTACAACATGAGGATCAAGGGAAGGTGGCGTGAGCCATTTGGCTCTGAATACCATGATAGAATTCAAGAGTAGTTGAATGATGAGCCATTGAGGCTCTATAGTACAAGCATGCAAGCAAGAGAGGGGTGAAGAAGGAGCAAACCCTATTGGCCACTAAGTTGGCCAACGGGGGAGATGCCTTGTGGAGTAGGTAACCCCACAATGTTGCTAGGTTGTGATTGGTAGGCCTTAGGACCAAAAGTTGGCAAGTGCCAACCAAGGACCAAGACCAAACCCAACCTTGACCAACCACAAAATGTGGTTGGAGTGTACACCCAATCCCCCAAGAACATAAAGAGCTACACCATTCTAGCCTATGTATGTTGTATATAAGATACAGTTACAACACCGTCCAATCCCGCACTACCCCCCGTCCAACGCCCCACTTCCCCTTGCTACCCCTGTCATCCACCCATCCCCTTGCTACCCTTGTCATCCATCCATCCCCTTGCTACCCCTGTCATACACCCATCCCTTTGCTACCCCTGTCATCCACCCATCCCCGTGCTACCCCTGTCATCCACCCATCCCCTTGCTACCCCTGTCATCCACCCATCCCCTTGCTACCCCTGTATCCACCCATCCCCTTGCTACCCCTGTCATCCACCCGTCCCCTTGCTACCCCTGTCATCCACCCATCCCCTTGCTACCCCTGTCATCCACCCACGCCTTTGCTACCCCTGTCATCGCCCCACTTCCCCTTGCTACCCCTGTCATCCACCCATCCCCTTGCTACCCCTGTCATCCACCCATCCCCTTGCTACCCCTGTCATCCACCCATCCTCTTGCTACCCCTGTCATCCACCCACGCCCTTGCTACCTCTGTCATCGCCCCACTTCCCCTTGCTACCCCTGTTATCCACCCATCCCCTTGCTACCCCTGTCATCCACCCATCCCCTTGCTACCCCTGTCATCCACCCATCCCCTTGCTACCCCTGTCATCCACCCATCCCCTTGCTACCCCTGTCATCCTCCCATCCCCTTGCTACCCCTGTCATCCTCTCTTCCACACGCTGCTCACCCCATGCCATCCTAAATTGGCAGGAAAACAAAGGATTCAACTGCAAATGAAGCCAATCCAGCTGCGGGGCTTAGTGCCGAGCATGACAAGGCCACTCACGGTATATCCAAGCACATGCGGCCAGTCATATGCCTACAACACTGCGGGTTGTCGGCTTTGATGGGTGGCAAGAACGAGGCTACAACATCGGACGTGCTGTACTACTTCATGATGAATGCGCCAACCGCGTATAAAAGGCTAATGTGGGCAGCCAAAGCCGCAGGTACATGGGAGAACTGATGGTGGGAGGGAATAGGGGTTTACGGGTGAGTGTTGTGAGGATAGCATGGTGCCCATACCACACGTGCATTCCTATGTGCCTCTACGTCCCTCATCGTATGTCCAGGTGCAGACGGGGGAGAAGCACTAGCAACAGCGGAGCTGCACCTTGAGGCATACGGGCGACAGTTCGACGCTCGGGCGACAGTTCGACGCTCGGGCGACAGTTCGACGCTCGGGCGAGCAACGGGCCTAATGCAGTCACAGGGATGATTGGGAACGAGGACATCCAAATTGAGGGCCTTGTTTACAACTTCCCGGCCTACAAAGAGGACAGACGGGGCAGATCTCAGAATCCCAACCACTAGACCATTGGGATAAAAGGGCTTGTTTCAGTAGCGGGTCAGTGCGCCCATAACCCCCCAGGCAAATGTGCCTGTAACCCTTCCCTAGGATCGATCGGGGATCACCAGTGGACCTCTGACACCCCCCCGCACTGGGATGCCCGAAGTGCATACACCGGGATTCGAACCCGAGACCTTCGCTCTGATACCATCTCAGAATCCCAACCACTAGACCATTGGGATAAAAGGGCTTGTTTCAGTAGCGGGTCAGTGCGCCCATAACCCCCCAGGCAAATGTGCCTGTAACCCTTCCCTAGGATCGATCGGGGATCACCAGTGGACCTCTGACAGCAGATTACGCCCAGTCCGTGGGGTTAGTTGGGGAGGGGCCCGAAAGGGCAAGGCTTATGAACGTGCGTGCAGAGAAGGTGAGAAACACTGGAAAACTCAAAACGGAGTAATTGTAGAGTGGGACAAACTGAAGTTGAGTCTGCATATACTCGTAGACTGAGGCCCCAATCCATGGCGTGTGTGCAGAAGTTGCACAGCCAACAAGAGCTGAAACAGAGGGGAGGGCTCCTTCACAGCAGCCAGACACATGCACGATTGCTAGAGCTCAATGCAACCAAGAGCCCGCCGTACTTCATGACGACGTGGTTCCAGATGGAGCCCAAAGGTGAGACTGTGCGTGGATGGAGTTGGCCGAAAGAGTTGTGAAAGTGGGAGTGGAATTGTGTCACTGGCCTCCGTAGCGAACGCTCGTGTGGTGTATTGGACATGTGCCTAGAGCTGTTGTGGTGTTAATGACATGTGATCAATGACTTTCTACTGAGTTCCCTTTGTTGTTTGGATGTGCAACAACCTCTAGATCTAGTCAACAGGACGAGCCCCTCAATGATACACCAGTGCCTGTCCCGAGAGGGCGGCCACGTGCACCAGCAGTCACGGAGATGTCTCTGTGGAAGGTATGTTTTCTGGAGCCAGGGCACATTCTAGAAGCATTAGCACCACTACGGATTGGTTGCACAAGAGAAGGTTGCGGCGGGAGCATGTCCCTAGTGTCATGGAGAACCACATGGGCTTCACTAGGACTGTATTGGCACTGTAGTACATGCCCTACCCGCACGGAGATATGGACAACAGGCCCCTAGATTCGTTTTGAGGTAGTCTGACGCCTCAGAGTACACCCCTCCTAGAACTCTGTCTGTCAGAGGTGCCTCAAAATTTTAGTCTGAAAATTCAGACAAGCACAAATTTTTTTGTCTGAACTGTCAGAGTTACCCTCAAATTTTAAGATGATGATGCAGTGTCGTAAAAGCATATTTATAATAGCATTGAAGCTAATCACAGCATACCAACTCAACTGTGCGGTACGTCTCAGAATCCCAACCACTAGACCATTGGGATAAAAGGGCTTGTTTCAGTAGCGGGTCAGTGCGCCCATAACCCCCCAGGCAAATGTGCCTGTAACCCTTCCGTAGGATCGATCGGGGATCACCAGTGGACCTCTGACACCCCCCCGCACTGGGATGCCCGAAGTGCATACACCGGGATTCGAACCCGAGACCTTCGCTCTGGATACCATCTCAGAATCCCAACCACTAGACCATTGGGATAAAAGGGCTTGTTTCAGTAGCGGGTCAGTGCGCCCATAACCCCCCAGGCAAACGCGCCTGTAACCCTCTCCAGGATCGATCGGGCATCCACAGTGCAGATCTGACAGTACGAACCAGTCAGGGTCGGCGGGTTTGCATCACGCAACGTGCTCGTGCATCGCCTTGGTTGTTTTGTCACGTGCAGCGCATGGGTTATTTCTGCTGATTAGATTTCGTCTCGTCGTGTGTGTGATTACCGTTCTGTACCCATTTTCTAGCCTGTGTGCCGATTTTGTCAATTTTGGATTTGCGTTTCAAGCAATGTGATCATTCACCCGATGTGGTTGTTGTCACGTACAGTGCCAGGTGGGCCAAGTGCCACGTAGCTGAGCTGGCAGCAGGCAGAAACTGTTGGTTGGCGTGGCGTGTGTGAGCATCTGGCAGTGCCGCACGGGACTTTCACTACGAATCAGGAGCTTCGCAATTTCACAGCAGTGCGTGCTGCAGATTTTTTTAAAAAGAATCAGCATCAAAATCGCCAATTCTTTAAAATACATTAGCGATAACTTACATGTGACGAGATTTTGTCTACGAAATCTCGCAATCACGCAACCATTTTCTTAGTGTAACTGGGAGATATTCTCGATGAACGAGTGTATTCGGATGTCCCAGCTGTTGAAGCGTGCGTTGCTCACGTCCTGGCACTCCACTGCCATCTCGTAAGTGGGCATATCAAAACGAAACTTCCAGGAAACTTCGTTTCGATAAGCTCGCAGAGTGCACTTCCGACACAAGTCTGAGGCTCAGCCTACACCCCTAAAAATTGGCTGAAATTTCAGCGGTTACAATAAAAAAAACTCTGAAAAATCAGAGAAGGTACATAAAAAAAAACTTACAGTTCAGACCAGGTACCAAAAAAAAGTCTGAATGGACGCTGAATCAGCGTAAAAAGTCTGATATCTAGGGCACTGATGGACAAGCACGAAGAAGGAAAACCCCCCTAATGGGAAGCGGACCGGACCAAGGTCTATACAGCTAATGCAAAAGTTTGTGGGTGCGTTTGCCCTCGGAGGGTTAGGGTTTTAAGTGATGTGGGAAGTGTGTCGCAACCTCGGAATGCCAACTCCTGGAAAAACGACATTTTACCGACTGTTGCAGGGTGAAAAGGGTTTGTGGAAGGCTATCATTCGTGCAGCCCTGGTTTCTATGGCAGCAGTGCGTGATAGCTTGTCTAAGAGGGCTGGTGGGGTGGGATATGACAAAATTAGAAGGAAGAAAGAGGATTGAACTAGCAGAAATGGGGATACAAATAGCAAACCCTAGAAGGGCTGTACTCGCTATAGAGCACCCCACTACAGGCTAGAACAATAAGATAATATTCTGACACACCCCCATAGCCAAAGTGGGGTGTAATCAGCAGAGCAGGCAAAGCAATACAAGCTCAGGGTGGATCACAATGTCACCACACATTCTGAGCACAAGTTCAAGAAGAAATAGTTTAGAGTTCACAATTATATGCAAAG